ATAGACAAAAAAGATGTAATTTGAAGTGTAAGAGAGCAGGAATAAGAGTATCTCTATTTGCATATTTACATACCATATAAGATGGATTTGTTGTATTTACATGATAGCAGGCACTGAGTGGAATGAGGTCTAAAAGCACAGTATAGACATAACTAGAATTTGCATCAGTATTACAGTGTAAAGACCCTCGAGCAGTGCCAGACCATTCCCGTGCCACTCGAGGTGACTGCCTGTTATCTGTTTTTTTGTTTTTTAATAGTGTCTTTTTACCCACTTTCTTTCTTTTCTGGATATCGAGGCCTGGTCTAAAGTTGTTCGAGTTATGGGGAAAATACTGTATTTAAATATGATAATTAAAAATATCCAATTGGAATTGCTACTAGAGGGCCTGTAAAAAGAGGTTAATAGCAGTTCTTTAAAATGTTTAATGACATTGTAGAGTTGGGTGATATGGCAGAAATGAACTCACAGTATTTGAAGAAGTTTTCACGATACACAGAATGTTACAATATTTATTTTTTCTGACATCTGATGAGTTAGAACAGACAAAGTGCTGCCAAATTTAAAAATACAAGCAAAAGCTCTGAAAACATTTATTTGTATTTGACACTGCACTGCACTTAAACAGGTCTAATTGTACTCTTTGTAATCAGACATGCAGTTGGGAAGTGTTGCTTAAGTGCTGTCGCTCACAAAAACACATTGTGATAAATTACATCACAGTAATGATAATTATAATGATTATTAACAGTTACTATAATTGTTATACCAGATGCCATAAGGCTACCTCACTGAGAGTATAACTGTTTTTGTTTTTTTTTGTTTTTTTAATAGTGCATAGCTGTTGTATGCTAAACTTTAGCGCTCTCTCTCCCGTCTTTATTTGAATAATTCTCTGCTAACAGAACAGCAGTACGGTCAGCGTTCCTTCATGAAGGTCGTTTTCACCCTCCCCCCCGATTACCACTGCTTTCTGTGTCTGCATGCATGTGTGTGTGTTTATCAGCACTTCATTTGGTAATTGAAATGGAGTTTTTGTCCTGGCGGGCTGTAAATCAGTCGTGTCAGTCAGCTCTTTAGAGCTTTGTGTCTCATTTCAATCAAACACAAGTGTTCCATAAAGGGCCTCTCACGCCCTCTTACACCAGCTGGGACGCTCCACAAAACTCAGGGGTTGCCCTTATTAGCTTCTCTAGAGGCACCACATTGCTTTCTTTATTTTATTGTTATTATTATTTTAACCCTTAGAAGTCAAGAGGTATTATTCTTACTTCACTCCACATTCAATTTACATAACTATTTGTATGTAATTACATAACGACATCATTATGTTATGAAGTCCATTTTCGCTTTTAACCAGAAAGCTCTACTTTTGTGTCATTTCACCACAGAAACCAGTAGAGTTTTTTTTCGTGTGCTTTCGTTTGTGGTTAGATTAAAGCTCTTTCCTCTCTAACCCTCTCTAACAGCCCTCCTCATGGTCCGTGGGGGTAAAATAAAGGTCCTCTTCCAGGCAGATTCACTGCAGCTCCGGTTGTTTTAAACTTCTTAATTATTGCTGTAATAGTGGATATGGAGAATTTCAGATGTGTAGCTTCTTTTTAGCTTTTATTTTTTTTAGTATTTTTAAAGATTAACACACTTTTGTCTCATTTCATTTATGTATTCTCTGATCTTCCTCATGGTGGCGTTCATGGTTCAAAAGCACATATGTAGTATGTAGTATGCAGGTTTGGGATGCAGCCTGAAAGAATTTGGTCTCTGTGTTAAACTCCTGTTTAAACCTCAGTGAAGTCATTAGGCATATATTAATATATATATATATATATATATGTATATGTAAATCAATGGAACCACACACACAATGTAAAGGACAACAGGCTTTTATATATATATGCACCCATTTGACTGTCTGTCTGCCTTTTTGAAGATTTTGATTTTGGCTGCCTTGTTTTTCTGCCTTATTTTTAGGCATATTTTAAACTTGTCTCACTTTTTAAATGGTAATTCCACAACTGGGCACCATTTGGCCCTCGTAACTCTTAAACCTAAATCTTTTATTAATTGAATTTAACTGTTCAAAAAACATCTCATAGAATTAGCAAATACACAAAAAGGGCTCGAGTAGCATCCATGCTAACGGTCCAAGGACATTAAGGACATTCTGATGATTTTTTAAAAATAATAATTAAATCTAAATAAATTAAATCTATAATTTGGGTAACAGTTATAGTGCACTAGGAGAAGCAAAACTACTGTAGATATATTTTTACTAATGCTTTAAGTTATTTATCTGAAAAATGCAGATAGGTTATTGTGAAGGACACTTTTTTAAACTGCTTAAATTTTACTTTTCTTTGCGTTACATATTTGTAAATGTCACAAAGTGGGGCCCCAGTTGTGGAATCGCTCTTAAAACGTAGCTTATCTGCTGAGCAGACAGCTGGAATGTGGTCTTGCTCTGCTAATTGAAGCCTTTGTGTCTTCCTTTTGTATAATCGCCTCTTCTGCCCTTTATTGCGTTTTATTCTGTTGTGCCTTCGTTTACCACACTGGTGCTACTTGCTGTTAGCAAGCCGTGTAAAAGGTGTGGACTGTGGTGTCTGAGTGTGTGGTTTAGAGTGTGTGTACACACACATTTCGCTCTTTTCTCTTGCCTTAATCGCTCGTGCTTGACCTCTTTTCCTCTCTTTCTTTCCCTCGCACTAAACCACGCGTGAGTCAGCGGCGTGTTTCCTCACACCTAAGTGTGATGTGTCTGGCTCTCGGTGTTTGAGCTGCTGTTGGATTGTTGGTTGGCTGTGGTCACTATGAAGCTGAGTGTCGGTGGTCAGGCCGGCCGCATTGTGTCTCTGCTGCTCATTAACTTAAATAGGACCCTCTCAGGAAACCACAGCCCGTTTATGACCCCGCAGCAGGTCACTGCCTTACTAATGGACGGTGGCTCGCCTAAATAAAGCTTAACAGCTCCTTTAATTCCTCCCGCAGTAGGAAGAGCTGAGAGCAGCACTTGCTGATTTGTTTGTTTTTCCACCTCTGGTTCATTTAGGGGTTCAGGGTGAATGGTGTCCTTCTGAAAGTCACTGGGTTTAGAGAATTGTTATTGTATTGTAAAATACATACCCTGACACTAGAGATCAGTGATATCAGTGACTGTAACCAAGCAGCATATCGTACTGCGTTGTTCAATATGAGCATCTCGGTTCTATAGGCACAGGCATTAAACAATACATTCAACAGAACGAGTAATTACTCATTCTAACAGTTTGCAATGAGATAAAGCCAAAACTGATCCAGCAAAGGCTGTAAAACATGTTTGTAGTAAATACTCAGCTTAAAGCTACTTTTTAAAGCAAGTTAACCAATATATTTAAGTATTGCCTTGATTTTGTTTGATTTGTTACTGCAGTGATAACAATAAAAGCTGGAATCTAAACAGCTGAGATTTACCTCCGCATTACTTTCCCTGCACCCCTAACCACGTATTAGCACACAACAGTAAAAAGCAGTGTTGTACCCTTAGAAGTGCACTCATTTGTGTAGAAGGTAAAGTATAAGAGTGTGAGATCTGGGATGCAGCATTAGTTCAGCCGATAAGATGCGTTCTACAATCCAGCAGCTCCAATGGCTCATTATAGCTTTGCTGTGTTGCTCTTCAGCTTCTCATTAAACATTTCCTTATTTGTTTAATTTTAATATCCTCATTAGCTGCTATCACGATAGCCGCGATTCTTCCTGGGGTCCAGTACACATACAAAACTTTACAAAACAAGGCAATAACAGTCAACGAAACAAGTCATACAAAACATGAGTGAAAAACAAAAAGAAACTGAGTGAAAACAAAACACATGAAAAAGGGAAAATAACATAGTAGGACAATTTAAAGCATAAAATAACAGTAGAAAGAAGATTAAAACAGAAAAAATTGCAGTAAAAGAAAAGCTCTTTTGGTATATCTCACAAAGACCTTAGCCGACTCTATTCGGGTAAGTATCTAAATCCCTGCCCAACCATGAAACTCCACCAGAGTATTATTCCAGCTGTCAAGGACCTGTGTACCTAAGTGATCTTTAAATTTGTTAAATACTGTCTTTTTGTTAGATTTTTAAAACATTATTTTACCCTCCATTTTAAGCAGTGAGACCGGTAGGGAATTCCGCTCCTTTATAGCTCTGTAAATTACTGTTCGACACCATGTAGTTAGTTTTTGCTCTGGGTAAGATCTCCAGTAGATCTACATATATATATATATATATATATATATATATATATATATATATATATATATATATATATATATATATATATATATATATATATATAAGATCTACTGGAGCATGTGAAAGATAAAGGTGTTATTTTTTATTAATAAGTCAAACAACAAAAGTTTAAGGTATTTCCTGATTAAGGATGCAGAGCTGATTTTAGCCTCATATTCGCCAGCTTCTTTTAGCAAATTAATTCTACATTTAAGGCACCTGTAAAATCTCATGCATTGTAATGTTCTGAACTCGGGAGATGTGCAGGTTATACAGATCTAGTCTGCCAATATAGCTAATTTCCTCCTTCCTCCTCGTACCATTTTTTTTGGATACTGTATCTAAAGTGCCCACATCTTTTAATCTTTGAAACCATAACATATTAAGTATCATAAGGCAGATTTACAGCTACTTCTTATTTTATGATGTATCAAAAAATGGTACTGCGTGAATCTGAATTTTGTGAATCTATTAAATGCATAAGCTAAGTCCATATTAGTATTTAGCATAATATTTACATGTTTAAATTTGCATATATCATTGATGTTCTCTGTCAATACACGTCATATTTGTAGTATACCTGTATTGTACATCTGCTCTATTTACTGGGACTCCTACACCAATTCATAATATTTACCATCATGTTCTTGGAGAATATGGCTTTTTTATGTCAGACTTTACAGAATGCAATGGTGGATTTTCTGTTTTGTTAAAACTGCTTTTTGCTTTTGTCCTCTACAGGCTCCTGTACAGCTTGGCCTTCAATGCGCGCTTTCTTAGACACTTGTGGCACTTAATAACGTCCATGAGGACCAAAATGATCACAGGGTAAGTGGTCCATCCAAAGCAAGCCTTTATCAAAGCAGGAGCAGCAATCCATGGGATCAATCAGGGAGAAAGAAGAAAAACATTGTAACAGCCACAGTTTACGACCTCTTATTACAACTTATTACCTGCTAAACAAGACTTTTAGGCCAGACAGTGTCAGAACCCACATAAGCAAGTCTATTAGAGGTTACTTAACAGCTCAACACTGTTTGAGGTATATGTGTGATTATTTTGATGTGCAGTTTACACAATGCTAAATGTCATTTTTGCTGAATTGTCTCTTTAAAAGGTCCGTTTTTGAATGTGTTCTGCAGGTCTCTGGTGCCTCTGCTGCAGCTGATGTCCCGCGGTTCTCCCATGTCTCCTGAAGACTCCAACAGGATCATCCCGCTCTTCTACCTGTTCAGCTCCCTGTTCAGCCACTCTCTCATTTCCATCCATGACACAGAGTTCTTTGGAGACTCCATGGATGGTAACAACCACACACATACACCGAGCCCTGTGACCAATTCCATGACAGTGCTTTGTATAAATGCCTGCTTTTGTTTACAACCTGGTTTTTCAGCTTCTTCTGAAGGTTATGAATAAAGTCTAACGTGTACCGTCACTTTCAGTTCCTATGCACTTGCTGGTCTGAGTAAGCTGTTCTCACGTACATGCACATGTGGTCTGTTTTTCTTTTGCTCCTGCAGGTCAGAGGGAGCCGTCAATGATGCCCTTCTCTCTTTCGGAGCTGGTGACGCTGTCTCGGTGTCTGCGGGACGCCTGTCTGGGCATCATTAAGCTGGCGTACCCTGAGACCAAGAGCGAGCACAGAGAGGAGTATGCAGCCGCCTTCCGCAGTGTCGGGGTCAAAACCAGCAGCCAGGTCCAGCAGCACATTCAGGCCCAGCAGAAACGCTGGGTCCAGCTTTTTAAGGTGAGGTCTGACTCAAAGATTCCTATAACCTGTGGCCTTTATATTATCAGTAGAAACACTGGGTCCGGTTCTTGAAGGTGAGTCCAGACTCCAGGAATCTTACAACCTGTGGTCTTTGTAGTATCTGTAGAAATGGTGGGTACAGTTCTTTAAGGTAAGTCCAGACTCTGGGAGCCTTTGGACTTTACAGTTTAAGTAGAAATGTTGGGTCCAGCTCTGTGAGGCCAGGCTTCAGTAATCCTGTAACCTTTATGGACACGCAGGGTCTGGCTTTTTAATATGAGATCAAATGAGGCAGGACTGGTTTTGATGGTAGGTGCATATGAGTACGTCCACAAAGCTCTCTCGGTCTGCAGCTTCACTTTGGATTCGAGTGGATTGGATTCTCCTCGGTCCTTTAAACTGAAGACCTATAGGTGAAAATGAAATGGATGCTGGAAACAATTAGTGCTGCAGCATAGATTATAAAAAGAATGTGCCTTGGGTTTTTATTGCTCTAATGCTCTAATGTTCATCGCTGATAGATCAGACAGATTGCAATCAGAAGTGAGGGTGGTGATTATGGCTTTTATCGTTTTGTTTCACGTTAAAAGAGGAAATCACTTGTCGAGCTTGAAGAAAGTTGATGGCTGCAAAGAAAGAGGCATAATACTTAGATCAGGGGTATCAAACTCAACCGCTAAAAGGGCCATATTAAAAAATCTCATCAAATCCTTGGGCCACCTGTGTTTTTATTTAACCTCTTATTCTCCAGGGTATATTTTGGTTTGTCCATTTGAATTTATATGACCAAATTGTAAGGCAAAGAATTCAGTAACTGCATGAAATATATGTACATTTTTATTTTATTTTATTATTTATTTTTTGTAAAAGCTCCCCTCAAATTAACAGAAATTGTGTATTATAATCATTTAATCAATTATATTCATACAAATATTGCTATATACATACGATTTACTGCCAAAAATCTTAGACGCTCTTAGTATTTGTTTTATAAAAATCATTTTTACAGAGCAGATCACTGAACAGACGCCATCTGTTTATAGTTTATAGCCCAGATTTGTGGAAAAATTGTGAGTTCGGCTTCTTTTATTATAAGGGTTTAAAATTACATCACCCATCTATTTGGAAAGAAGACAGTTACAGCTCTCATACGACACTCACTTTTAGAATGTAGTTTATGAAATATGAAAGTTATGAAGAATATGACGAAGTGCGTTTTGGAACCACCGGTGGACTCAAGGAGTTGAAGAGGTTAATTTTTAATTAACATTTTGCTATAAACCGACCATTGTTTATTCAAAATATGCATAAACTTCAACAGGAAAACACAGGCACTTGTAGTAGACCTTGAAATATTACGTGGACACTTTAAATATTGAAAATGTAAATGTCCCCAGGAGCTCGGTCTTTTAAACCTACCTGTCTGCCTGAACTGGACACCTGGCATCCCTTCTTTGCTGCAAGTTCATCGATACTTGGGCTCAGTTTCTGAGCTGCAGAGCTGACGTTAAGTGTTTATATTGGCTGAACTGCAGTTAGTTGTTTGGTGATATGACTGTGTGTGGAATTATACAGAATTGTATAGAACTGAGGTGTAACTGCTGTCCCATACTCTGTTGTTGGAGTGCACGTTACGTTGCAGTGCATGATGGGGACTGTAGTTCAGTGCACTGTTAAACTTATATTTAGAGCTTTTATTTACAGAAAACTAAAATACTTTTGCGGGCCTGATAGGATTGTGTTTGACACATGGGACTTAGATTAAATGATTCATCACATAATTGTTGCTCGGTGTATTATAGAATAATCTCGGTATAAGCTCTAGAGATGATATATGAAAGCATTTTTATATCGACTCGTTTTGATATATTGATATTTGTGGCCATGCCTATGCAGATTGTGCTGCAGTCTGGGAATCTTTTCCAGCTTTTCCTGGGTTCCTGTGTGTGTTTTCTCTGAAGAATGTAGGGCCTTTATAATTTGAGTCCATTTTCTACTTAATAGTGCCATTAGCTTAATTATCACCACACTAGCCTGTTAAAACATCGCCCAGGTAAAACATTGCCAAGTTCTCCTTGCCTCTTTCGCGTCCTCCTCATTACGCTCGACGGCACTTCCAGCGGAGCCGAGATGCTGTTGCTAACGTGATGAGCTCCGATGATGTCTTTGAGGGTGTAATTAGCTGAGTGGGAGGTTAATGAGGTGATGAGTGTGTTCATGCGTGTGTTGAGGGATCAGCGCTGCTCACTCAGGCGGGCACTGAGACCACCGGCTCAGGAAACGAGGAAATGTTTACTGTGTCTGAGGGAGCGGAGTAATGGTCAGAGCTGCTCCGTCTCTGTCTCTTCACAGCACTGATGGCCACTGGCCTGGTAACAGTGTCCAGAGCTCTTTCTTAAGCGTCTTCATTATCCAGTGTTCTGGTCATTTCAGTGCCTGTATCACTTTCTGTAATCGTTTCTGATCCATGATTAGTTCAGTGATGTATTACAGTAGAAATACTGCACTTATTTATAGATACAAGCAGAATATCATCAACTACATCACCACAGCTGAGTGATGATCAAAGGTGCCAGTTTGGCAGCGATTCGGTTTCTAACCAACTAAACGTGAAGAACCTCCGGGGATCATTTCTTTCTTTTTCTGTCTCTCTCTTTTTGTCTCTTTCTACTTCTCCCTGTCCTTTCTTTCTTTCTCTCTCTCTCTTTTTCTTTCTCTCTTTCTTTATTTGTCTCTTTTTCTGTTTCCCCTCTTCTTCTCTCTTTCTGTCTCTGTCTTTGTCTTTCTGTCTTTCTCTACTTATATCTGTCCTTTCTTTCTTTCTTTCTTTTGTTTTTTCTTACTTTCTTTCTTTCTTTTTTCTTTCTTTGTCTCTTTTTCTGTCTCCCCTCTTTCTCTCTCTTTGCTGCTTTCTACTCTCTCTGTCTTTCTTCTTCTCTTTCTTTTTGTCTCTTTTTTCTGTCTCCCACTTCCTCCTCTTTCGCTCTGTCTTTCTCTTTCTTCTTCTCTTTCTTTCTTTTTCTTTTTCTCTTTGTCTCTCTTTCTGTCTTTCTTTCTTCCTCCCCTTTCTCTTATTTCTGTCTCTCTTTTTGTATCTCTGTCTCTCTCTACTTCTCTCTATTGTCTTTCTTTCTTTCTTTCTTTCTTTCTTTCTGTCTCTCTCTCTCTCTCTCTCTCTCTCTCTGTCTCTCTCTCTCTCTCTCTCTCTCGTTAAACCTGCAGTGTTTTTATGCTGCTCGTTTAGAGAGATCCTCTTTCTCCTCCTCTTTCTCCTCCTCCTCCTCCACTCCACTCCACTCCACTCCACTCTGCTCGGCGCGGTGCGGTGGACGATTTTTATAAAAGATGGCACGGTCGGCCTCCTGTCAGCTGAAACGAGCTGTTAAAGCAGTGAGCAGCACAAACGCATTTTCCAAATTGAAGGCGGGATTTACAGTCGGCCGGACCACCGCTGACCCCGCCCACGCTAATGTTTGCCTCGGGCTCTCGCCTGTCCCTCCGCCGTGTTTTATCACCCCTATTGTCCGGCTATCCATTTAATTGAAAGAAGTTAATTGAATGAAAATGATCAACTAAGCTTGTATTAATATTGCTAATGGAAGGGTTCCTCTTGGCTGTGTTTGGAGAACGGTGACACGGCTGGAGTTTGGGAAAGGCCCATTACGGCCTGCACTTAACCTGATGGGCTAATTAACCAGCGCTCATTTATCCCCACTGCCCCCCACCGGGGGCGCCGATGTGCCCCCCCTTCACTGACAGTTGACCAGCAACAGCGTTTTGCACTTGCCGTTATTGCAGACGTTTAGGCGTTGGCGTGGCGAGATTGATGATCGTCCTCTAGAAACGGCCAACACTTCGTTTGTCTTAGACAGTTGAATGGTGGAAACTGCCTGTATATTTATAATGGAGGGTGAATTGAGTAAAGAATACTAGACTAGTAGAGGTTTTCATGCTGATTTTGATGCACTTATAACAGTAGTTATTGGTTTTCATAGATCTGTTTCTTGTTATTACTCTGATAGGCCTCTAACAGTAGTCATTGGTCATCATTGGTTAGTCCAGGGGTCAACAACCCAAATGTTAAGTAGAGCCTTTTTGTCCTTTAAACAAAAATCAAGCCACCTTGGGAGCCTCAACATATTGTCCATTTTATTGAAGTAATGTTTTACCATCTTGGCTGAAATTATGTCTTAATATGCGCTAGCTAATGTCCAAGAATAGACAAAAAAATGTAAATATAATATCGACAACCAGAATGTAAGTTCTGCACCATTTAAGGTGGAGTGGGAAAATACGAACAGGAAGGTGGTGAACGAGAAGCTGACATTAGCTCCGCGACTTTTTTTGTGGACTTTTTAGGAAACCAGCTGGAGTGCTTATAAATGCAAATAACTCCGTTCGCCTCCAAATTCTTTATGTTCGTTTTAAATTTTTCTCTTTTCTTTACCTACTAGCTAGGCAAGATTGTCTGCATTGCTATGGTGACCAACAGTCTGCGCACCAACCTTCATGGTTAAATGTTGGGGAATTATAAATCTAATTCTATAAATCTAAAGCTGCAACAGGGCAGTAAAAGAGCCACATGAGGCTCCGGAGCCACATGTTGCCGACCCCTGTGCTAGTCTAAATACTCATATCCAATGATAGACTTCTTTTTTCCGTATTTACTGTTTATATTCATTGTCAATTCTTTACTCATATTGCTCTTGTTGTATTATTGTTTTGCTATCCATTGCTGACCAGAGGTTTCTCAAGGTTTCTTCCTGGCACTGTTGCCCTTGGTGATGCTCATTTAGAGCTTGGACCAGGATTTCTGTAAAGCTGGTTTTGTGACAAGGCCTATTGTGAAAAGTGCTGTACAAATACATTCGAATTGAATTGAATTGAAGATACATTGTTACAAATCAATCTGATTCAGCTGTGTTTATCTTTGAATGTTAGATATTGGCATTGATTGGTAAAACTATTCACTGATCAGTCGATATACGCCGACCAGCCACTTCATTAACTACACCTGCTTGTGTCTACACTCCTGCATACTTTGTTAGCCCCTTTTACCCTGTTCTTCATTGGTCAGGACCCCCACAGCGCAGGTATTATTTGGGTGGTGGGTCATTCTCAGCACTGCAGTAACACTGACGTGGTGGTGGTGTGTTAGTGTGTGCTGCGCTGGTCTGAGTGGATCAGACACAGCAGTGCTGCTGGAGTTTTTAAACACCTCAGTGTCACTGCTGGACTGAGAATAGTCCACCAACAAAAAATATCCAGCCAACAGCGTCCTGTGACCACTGATGAAGGACTGGAGGATGACCAACACAAACTGTGCAGCAGCAGATGAGCTATCGTCTCTGACTTTACATCTACAAGGTGAACTGACAAGGTAGGAGTGTCTAATAGAGTGGACAGTGAGTGGACACAGTGTTTAAAAACTCCAGCAGCACTGCTGTGTCTGATCCACTCAGACCAGCGCAGCACACACTAACACAACACCACCATGTCAGTGTTACTGCAGTGCTGAGAATGATCCACCACCCAAATAGTACCTGCTCTGTGAGGGTCCATGGGGGTCCTGACCACTGAAGAACAGGGTAAAAGGGGGCTAACAAAGTATGCAGAGAAACAGATGGACTACAGTCTGCAACTGTAGAACTACAAAGTGCACCTATGTAGTAAGTGGAGCTGATAAAATGGACAATAAGTGTAGATACAAGGAGGTGTACTTAATGAAGTGGCCAGTCAGTGTAATTTAATATATATTAAAATACTAATTGTAAATGGGCTGTGAGTTTGTGCTGTTTGAGTTTAAGCCAGTTATATTTGACTGCTGGCAAAACAGTTAGTAAATCATTGTTTTTCTAAAACAGAGTCTGTTTAATTTTTCACCATATACAAATGATTTTTTTTCTCATTCTAAGTTCTTTAAAATTGGCATTTGTTTTTATATCAGTCGGGCCCAAGTATGATCACGTCTGCCCTGGGGGTGTGTTATTTCTATGTGGTCAATGCAACTCTGCTTTTATAGTAACTCAAAACAGTGGAAATGTCTGATGTTGTATTTTTACTCTCCAAGTTATTTTTTCATGAGAGCAACAGATTCTATCTGAGCAGGCTTCCATATCTTCAGGTGCTCAGTACAGTATTTCTTCATGCTTGCCTGAGCTCTTGCTCAGCGATGGATTGCTTATGGAGCGTCCGTGATGCTCCACTCTGCTGTCTTTCCCCCACTCTCAACGTCAGCAGTCTTGTGGCTAATTAGCAGCCTCAGCTTGTCCACGACGGCTCATCCGTCTTCTCCATTCACCCGCGATTGGCCAGTAATGACCCTAATGCTGAGAAGAGAAGAGCCCATTTTAAACAGGAATCAGTAAAAAGATGTGTGGATTTTTTTATGGCTTGATATTGGTAAACGTGTTGCAGTCTTTTTTTGATCTTTTGGATATGAATGATATTTTTCAGAAGCTTTTATTTATTTATTTATTATTTTTTTTTGCAGTTGCAGTTTTGATGGTTTTTGACATTTTTATGTTCCTGTGTTTCAGGTCATCACAAACCTGGTGAAGATGTTAAAAGCGACGAGACATCAGAAGGCCGTTCTGCCCCGAGGGGCACTGGCTGTCCGAAGAGGTCAACATCAGGGCTGATAAGGTGCTTCTGCTGCAGGAAAAAACAGTCACTTGCATCTATTCTGATGTGCTTCTTCAGGCAAATGAGCTTGTTTTACACTGGAGATTTGATTGAACTGAATTGAGCTGAATCAAATTGAACTGGGTGTGATTAGTAGCATTAGGGCCAAACTTTGGAAGTTAACTAAGCGGAATCTGTACTGCTTTTAAATGGGTGCTCAGCGCACAAAGAAGTAATTTAACCTCAAACTTATAACTGTTGCTGTGCCAGCTAACAACTGCTTAGTGAACATAGGCTACGTTTACACAGCAGGTAAAATTGGCCCAAATCCAATCTTTTTCTTCATATGAGACACAGATGTGTATCTGTGTGTCTGTGTGAACAGCACAAACACACTGAATCTGACATTTTCAATTCCGATTTGAGACGCTTTTATATGTGGTACTGAAATCTGACACCTATCCGATCTGCGGCAATGCAACTCAGTCTGAACAGCCAGATCGGAATTCACATCAACAACTTCTACATCAATCCAACTTGACATTTGTCATCATTTTGCGCTGCTGAGACTCATAAACATTTAGGCTGATGTTTCTGTACTAAAAAAATTAGAAGAGACTCATCAAACCGCTCTGTGTTCAAAGAGGTTTTCGAGAGAAATGGCCGAACGCAGCCGGAGAGCGAGGCTGCAGCGGCAAAGAGCAGTTAAAAGTCTGAAAGCAATGTTTAAAGAATCTGAGGACGCAAAACAGAGAACCGACCGTGTCTGAATAACATGCCTTTTTTTACAGCAAGCTCAAACACATTCTGAGTGACGAGCCCAGCTGTCAGCCGTCAGAACTTAATGGTTGATACTGTGAAACTGTTCGTTCATAGTCGTGATTGTTTACCTCTAGTCGAGCGAGCCGCATGAAGCAACGTAAAGAACTGTTCTTTTGCGCATGCGGGTCAGTTTGGGAGCTGATCTGTTCAGACTGATGTCGCATACAGATCACATTTTGATGATAATGTGAACAGCCCAACAAAAATATCGGATTTGGTGAGAAAATCAGATTTGGGCCACTTTTACCTGCTGTGTGAACGTAACCTTAGTATTAGTCTCTTTTTATTGTTTCAAAGTAAGCAACACTTTAATATGGTATTTTCAAGTTGAAACTAGGCAGGTTGCAATTATTTCATAGTTATTTGAGCTGATTGCAGTTATTTAAGTTGATCATGAGTTTTTTTCCACAGGTGTTCGCTTTCACAATATGTTTACATCACAATAAAAAGAACGTGTCAGCTTAGGTTTCCATATATATATATAACAGACACTGTTATATCTCTTGGTAGAACATCTGAGACTGAGAATATCAGCTACAGTGTATTGACATGTGGGAAACAAGACAGCTCATCAGCCAGTTTTGTCTTGTACTTTTATAGTACCGTACGATAAACAAAAAATGAACTGGGAATTAATCTTAATCTTAGTCTTATGGGAATTAATCATAAAGTTCAATTTCAGGCATAGCTAGACTAAAACTACAACAGAAACTTATGTTAGTCAGGTGTTTTCAGACTAGCCCCTCGCTATTAAAGGCCCTTATTAATGGTTTGTTGAATCTTGAAAGCCAGTCCTGGGTCTTGATTTGTTACCTGTTGTTGATACAGTGCTTGTGCATGTTTTTCAGGTGACCCAGCTCTATGTCCCCTCTGCTAGACATGTGTGGAGAACCAGACGGATGGGTCGCATCGGACCTCTTCAGTCCACGCTAGATGGTGAGACATGTTAAGCAGACATTGCTGCCTTCTCTACCAGTTATCTGGAGTACTATTGACCCAGATGTAATGATTTATTGATATACTTAATGGCATATTGAGATATTCAGAGTTGATTAGTTAACTAATTAGTTAATTAATTCTGTGCTCTTGAATAACGAAGACTCGTCTGAGATGCTGTTTGTTAGAAGGGGAGTGTTAGTGTATATCTTTGTTTAGCATATAAATGGTCATAAAGTTTGAAAAGCTTAGATGAGGAAAATGCATTAAACAAGCAATCAGCAGAAAAGCCCGACAGTATTGAGCCTGTGCAAGTCTAATAGCCCATTTGTGTTAGCATTCGTTTCAACCAGCGGCTCAGCATTCATGGTGTGAAAACGAACCAATAACAGCGTCTTGTGCGGTACTCTGGGGCATAGGCGCTTAAAAATTCAATTAGCCTAAGGCAAGTCACATCTGGCCCCCTGTTTGTCCAGACCCCTTTCATTTCCCTAAATGGACGTTTGCATTGGTGACGAATGGCCCTCGTATTGACCATGCCACACCATAATTCTCTCCCCGAGATGGCGTGTTGATAGCTGCATCAGAGAGAGAGAGAGAGAGGGAGGATTGACTAATTGAGCAGAATAATTGTACCAGCATGGTGGACAAATGATGCATCTCTGCTGCTGTTCCTGCACTTTCTATCCCCCTCTGCTGTTCGAAACGTCTCGAGGACGGAGGTTTAATCCAAAACAAACGTCCCCGTAATGGCCAGAGCAGACAGGTGGACGGACGGAGGGCTACGAAGTTAATTAAAAGTGTTGGGCAGCCGAGAGAGACACAGACTTGAACGGTCTTTAATGGGGACGCTCTGTGAATACTGTTCCCTGCTAGCTGCTAGAGTATACATCCAAAGGATCCCTTTTGGTTATTTCACTGCTCCATCAAATGGACCATAATGTATGTTTTTTGGGCTGATTGTTCTGATAACCCACCTCTTGAGGGTGCAATGACTCTAACTTACAGTTGAGACCCGATTGAGTAAAGGTTACTTGAACCCTGCTACATAATACTGACATAACCCTGTTTATAAACATGTCATGGCAGATGTCATATGCTGTCATGAGTTTTGTTCAGTATTATACAACAGTTAGTTCCGGCCACGCAAGCCGATTGGTTGAGAAGCGTTCTAACTGTGCTGTTATTTCACCATAACGTCACGTTTTTTTCACAAACACTGTATTGCTCCGCTGAGACGCTGTTGCTAAGCAACGACTTTGATAGGAGAAGCTCAAGCCATTTGAACGTTTTTACTTCTTACTTTGTGCACAAACAGAAAATGGATACTTTTAAGATCACATTTGACCGACAGCCGATTTGGTCAGACTCTGAAGATGAGACGACACTAAATTCCCACAATGTCAGTTGGTCTGTGTGTAGCTGGAGAACGAACTGCCGGCTGTGCAGCGAGTGGGCGGAGTTCATTACTCTGACATAGCAACAAGCTGCTCTTTAAGGAACTATAATTTGGTGAAGGAACTGCGAACATTAAAACATATTAAACGCCGCGTTCACGGCCCAGTTTATTAATTTATTACTTTATTTATTTAACTGTTGTATAAAAGCAGGAGAACACTCGAGGTCATGTGTTATTGCGAATACTTTCTGCGATAGCACGCTCCCTCTCGTGATCTATTGCTTAAATATACACTATGTGGCCAAAGGTACGTAGATGACCATCCTAATTACTAGAGGTGTTTCATCTACACACATAAAATCAAGCACGTGGCCATGCAATCTCCATAAACAAACTCTGGCAGTGGAGTCTTAGGATTACACCTTTGCCACAAGCTGAGCAGCTACACACAAGGCTCTGATCACTATTCGCAGTGCCAAGCGTCGGTTGGAGTGGTGTAAAGCATGCTACCACTGGACTCTGGAGCAGTGGAAACGTTTTCTGGAGTGATGAATCACACTTCACTGTCTGGCAGTCTGATTGACGAGTCTGGGTTTAGCGGATGCCAGGAGAACGCTACCTACTGGAACGCATAGTGCCAACAGTAAAGTTTGGTGGAGGAGGGATAATGAGCTGGGCTGTTTTTCAGGGTTTGGGCCCCTTAGTTCCAGTGAAGGGTGATGTTAATGTTACAACATACTAAGACATTTTAGACAGATATTTTTGGCAGCAGTTTGGGGAAGACCCTTTCTTGTTCCAGCATGACTGAGCCCCTGTGCACAAGCCGAGGTCCATAAAGACATGATTTGACTAATTTGGTGTGGAGGAACTCCACTGGCCCTCACAGAGCCCTGACCTCAAGCCCACTGAACATCTTTGGGATGAACTGGAATGTCGATTGTGAGCCAGCCCTTCTTGTCTAACATAGCTAACATAATTATAGCCCACCAATTAGTATCATACTGTATGTGTGCTGATTTAGGCTGAGCCTTATGCTAATCGGCCCAGTATGGTAGATCTCCAGGATCAGGGTTGACCTCCTCATTGTAGACTACTGTTTTACGTCCTGTAAATTCTGTGTTATGAGGTCTATATGATTGTCTATCCTTCAGTCATGGATTAATGGAGGAGAAGAATAGGTCTATTAAAGGATAAACATGGGTGCTGCTTATTTTCCTCCACAGTTGGGCCGGAGCCTCCACCACTGTCTGTATCAGAAGAGAGACATCTGGCCATTCTCACAGAGCTGCCTTTCGTCGTGCCCTTCGAGGAGAGAGTAAAGGTGTTACAACTTCTTTTCTCCATTTATTGGTTGGGTGCTAATATTGGCTGATGTTGAGGTCCTGCAAATTGAATGGTATTAGAAAAATTATGATGTAGCACTGATAATTAATGGCTTATCTTTACAGTAGGTAATGAGCCTCTGGTGTAAAGAAACTGTCAAAAACTGTGCATTTTTGAAAATCTAATGGTTTCTTGCCTGATTTATAGAGACTGCAAAAGTGATCTATTTGTTCACATTTACGACAGCAATACAATCTCAACTGGTAAATGTAAATGTAATCACTCCGTCATGGTTAAAATAACAAAAACATGTAAAAGGCTTCCAAACCTAACCTTGAAACAACCTTAAAATACTTTTTTTTGAAGAAAGCAGACGAAAAATAAGAGATAATTAATAGAACCCAAACTACAATAAACAGAAAGCTCAATAAGCAGTGCCACGTTATATTTGCATGTGTCTAGAATAAACAGATTTAAACTTTACTAAAATATTCTCTCTTGTCCTCCATCAATGTCTTATTGTCTGTTTGTCATTCTTGTGTAACGCTGTAGATCTTCCAGAGACTGATCTACGCCGATAAACGTGACGTGCAGGGAGACGGCCCTTTCTTGGACGGCATCAACATCACCATTCGGCGGAACTATATATACGAGGACGCCTACGACAAACTGTCTCCAGAAAATGGTACGGACCCCTTGATCATAACCGTCTCATCTAGGGTGTGCATCGTCCACTGCTGCCAAAAAAGATTTACACAGTGTTTACACAAATTTTTAGGGCATTTTAAGTATTTTTACACTAAGAAAGTAAATTCTGTTAAAGAGAACCTCATTTACTTAACACAAATCCTAATTTACTGTGCAAAAAAATTCTTTAGCAGTACAAATGATACAGAGGCAGAACGTCTGAGTTGACACAATGCAATCATCATAAAAAAGAGCTGGTAGTGATTTGCTGTGTGAAAGTCTGTTTGCCAATCTGAACTCAGTGTTTATTCACAGTGATGAAAAGTTCATCAGCAGTTTATTCTGTCAGTCTTATGATGCAGGAATTGCTTCTCTTGTCCTTTTTAACCTGGCATTGTCAGGGTGTAGGAAGCATTAAGGAAAAATAGTCTGGGCCATTATTAAGGAGTGAGTATAATTATAAGCAGTCTGTGTCTACATGAGTTGCTGTTTTTGTGATTTACGATGTGTAATTAATGATATTGGCCTTTTTGTTCTGACTTTGGCTCATTTTACTGTGATGTATTGTTTTTGTTTACTTCATTCCCTTTCAACAGCTAACTGCCACTTCTGTTCCTATTCCTTTTTGCTTCAAGAACATGAATCCAGTAATAGCCCCATTTGAATTCAGCGTAGCTGCTCTTTGCTCAACTACCCGCAATGAAAAGATTTAATCAAAGTCTTTGTTGTGTCCAGAAGAATTCCATTAGCCAGAGCTGGTGCCTGGCTCCCTCTCTTACACACTCACTATAATAAAGTTTTGGCAGGGAGTTTTACAAGAAGTTGTGTTACGAATGTAAAATGTCCTCCTCTGGGTTTGTTTCAGAGGCGGATCTGAAGAAGCGGATCCGCGTTCACCTCCTCAACGCTCACGGCCTGGACGAAGCGGGTATTGACGGTGGTGGGATATTTCGGGAGTTTCTGAGTGAGCTGTTGAAGTCGGGCTTCAACCCCAACCAGGGCTTCTTCCGGACCACCAACGAGGGGCTGCTGTACCCCAGTCCTACGGCCGAGATGCTTATTGGAGAGAGCTTTACTCGACACTACTACTTCTTGGGCCGGATACTGGGCAAGGTATGTCTGTAGGGTGTGTGACAGTCCAGCTTCAGGTGCAAAGGACAGATGTTGTAGCACAGTGGTGTCCAGTTCTGGTCCTGGACGCTCTTAGTCCTGTATAGTTTGGCCTTTTTTCCACTGCAGGGATGAGCAGTTCTGAGCACAGAGAGTACAGGATTCAGTGGCATCACCACACAGACATGGTTTACCACTTCTAAACAGTTGCAACGATGTAGCTGTTTGCTGATCAGTTATATGTTGGTGTTGTGCCACCGCATCCTGCATTATTTGAAACCCAAAAACAATTAAATAATTTCAGTTTGCTCACACAGACGCTAAATAAACAAAACCAGTGTTTTGTTTTAAATCCACCATTTAATTAATGTCAAAGCTTCAATCAAACAACAGTTGCTAAATGTTACACAGCTTAGCCTGCATGGTGCCAGCTCTGCTGACCACAGAACACAGTTTGATTCTGACCAACAGAAGCTTTATTGATGCAAGACGTCATCGTGTAGGTTTCTTGGTCTCACTTTATTTGGATAGTCCACTGTAGTCCCCTGTAGATTATCTACAGATGTTCAAATTGTCAACAAGCTGTCTGTTGAAGAGATTCTAAACAGTGGGGGGGTTAAGGTTAGGATTTGGACCAGGGTGAGGGTTGGGTTTAGGTTTTGTGTTGAGGTTTAGGTTGGATTAGGATTAGAGCCCGGTTTAGAGTTAAAGAAAATTATGGTCAGTGTAGTAGGTGTTGAGTTGAATTTAGCTTGACAGTACCTACTGTCAGTATCTACAAAGCATCTAAAGTGGACCATTCAAATAAAGTGTCTCTTCAGTATTGTCTGGTTCTGATTTAGCAGAACGGCAGATGGAGAAAGAAACCGTAACCGCTCTCAGGTGTCTGTATCAGCGCGGCTCTGAGAACCAATTGACTCTGAAGTGGAAAGGTGGCCTTTTGGTTTCTTTGCTCAGACACACTTCGTTCAACTCAGGAAGAACGCAGCTGACAGAAAAGCAAGGACCCCAGCCCTGCAGGATCCGAACTGGACATGCCTGTTCCGTAGTACTAGATCATTTGTAGGGGTGGTTTATTAGTCTGTCTGACTGAATCACACATGGTGCTACAGAATGTATTGCATCAAGTGTAGTATATCTTTCTGAGAGCTGTTGGCCCATGTTGGGGTTAGGAGGGGTCAGACTGTACACTAACTTTCAAAATTTTGGAATCAGTGTTTTTCAATTAGAAAATTTCAGAAATGTTCAGTATCGCTCATTTAAAGATGTAAATGAATTGAGAAATGTCAAATGAACAGAGCTGTGGATGAAAATCTTCTGAAATGACAGAGAAAGCATTAATATAATAAAGAAATAGAGAAAATATTAATAGAATTAATATTTAGAATGAATTTACAATATAATTCTTATCAATACAGAAGTTACGATAAAATTCATAGAAAAAAAATCCATAAAGAAGTTCTAATAAAAATGAACATCTAGAATGAAGTTTTAATTAAATAAATACCAAGACGTTAGAGTAAATGGAATACCCAGAATGCCACATATCAATGCTGGTCAGATCTTGAGACATATAAGTTGACAAATTTAATTGTAAGTACATAGTTATACTATGTTCTTATTTAATATCTTCATGGTCTCAAAATGCTAAATAAAATGTATAAATTCAGCTGTTCATTTTATATTTTATATTTTATCATAGTATATATTGTTATTTTTACTATATTTATATACTGTTAATAAGTTAATGTTGTACATAAAATAACAAAAATATGAATATGATGTGATTCCAAACATTTGGCCAGTAAAGTATATACTGTTAGTGTTGGTTGAATCAGACATTATAATGCAGTTTAAAAAAATAAACTTTACAGTGATTTTGTCCTTCACTGGACACTCTAAGTCCCAGTTGACAGAGAAGCTCAAATAAACAATGTCAACATGGCTGACAGTGACAGAAAGCTGGAGTTGCCTCATGTTAACTAAGAACATTGTCTTCCATCCATTGTTAAGCATGTTAGGATGTTATTTTGAAATATCCCTTTAAGCACTTCTGGCACACTGAGTAACAAAGGAGCCGTTTGATTTCTGCCTCGCTCCTGTCTGAGTACAGGTGAGATGCTGATAAGGCACGATCTTCTGTTGACCTGCTCTTCTGGCTGTTATTATTGCAGTATAAAACCGAGAAATGAGCGAATGATTTTGAATAGATGGAAGAGTCAACAATACCCAATATTGATTCTAGGCATGTGTGGAAGAGTCAATATGGTCTTTGGTCTAGACTGGCTTTCAACAAGTTCTAGAAATGGTGTCCTCATAATTTGATTATTTGACTCCCTCTAATGATAACTTTATTTACTGTTGTCTGGAAAGTGATGCAACATCTTCATTTGGTTTCTGAATCATTTCTTAGTTTAACTCACTTGTTTTCAGAGTGTAAACTTCACCACCTTTTTTGCTGCCGTTTTCTTCTCACTGGCTGTGTTTACATGCACAGATTTTTGCCAATCCAATTGAATACCTTCTGATTACTGATTAAGACTGAGGTGTTTATCTGCTCACGCTACTCAATGATCTGATGGAGAATCTTTGTTTACATGCTCACTACAAGTAATCCGATCCACTTAGAATACCACTTAGCGTAGATGTTACCATGACAGCGAGCATCACGTGAGACCAGTCAGAGTGAGATGAACAGCAGTGAGCAGTGCTTGTGATTTAAATTGCTTTAAAATGATGTCAGACCAGATGTCAGAAAAATGTACCTCACGTCCTTATTAAAGAAGGCCGAGTGGAAGACGTCGTGTTCTGAGACACGTGAGCTGGACGTTCGTCCCACCGCCGTCTTTTAAAGATCAGAGCATAAACTTCGTCTCCTCTGCAGACCAGTTTCTGCTCCGCCATGCTGAATGTTCTAAACTTGCACTCTGACATGACGAACATGATCAGAACGGACTTAAACTTTCCGATAGGGAATGTAATCAGATACAGGCGTTTACACGGATATTATTCTTCTATTTAATGGAGTGCCTCTAGACAGTCTGCCTAACTTCTGCCTAGCCTTGAGTTTACATTAGTATGAGGCCGAGCCACTGGACACTGGTCATTTTGTGTGGAACTAGGCGATTTTTAACTGCAGTTTAATGGCAAACAGCAAGCAACACAACAACAGGGCAATAAGGAGCACATTGGCTTTTCATCAAGGTTATGCAAATTAACAATGATCGTCAGACTTTCATACGACAAGTCCATAACCTCCCTAACCCCTACAAAATGTTGTCCTGATATTATTACACGGTTCGTGTTTAAAAACCTAAACAGTGATGCATACAGTACTGTGCAAAAGACAGAGACCACCATTCTTTTATTCAACTTCCAGTCAAAACAGCCTTTAAGTACAAGTTATTCGTTTTTCAGCATCAGGAAAAAACAGAAAGCACATTTAACAGAAAATTACACAGAAGCCTCAACAGCTAAATATAATTTTTTCGGTGTTTTTAGTGTGTTACCTTTATTACAGCTTCCATTCTTTTCAGGAGACTTACTTTCAGTTTCTCAAAGAATCTGCAGACATACCTCCAAAGTTCAGTCTTGTCTTGTCTCCAGAGTTTGGTTAATCATTTTCTGCTTCTCACCATCCAACTAACCCCGAACACATTCAGTGATGTTGAGGTCTGGACTCAAGATGGAAGTGCTGTTTATCTGATGGGGACAGTTTTGGTGGTCTACCAGGTCTTGCGTGGTTGGTAGGAGTCCCATTTTCCCAGTAACTTTTTTCTTTTTACACTCCAGTTTTGGAAGCTCTTGTTTATGCTTTTGACTTTGCCCTTATATACGGATCACGGTTCAAAGTCAGAGCCGAAAACACATTTCAGACTTTTTTTTAGCCTCTTCAGATGAGCTGGAACTACAGCTAACTAGCTGCTGCTTCACTGTTTCTGGCCCTAGCTAACATCAGCTAGTATTCAAGCACCCCCGCACATCTCAGTCTCTGACTTTTGTCAAAACCTTTTCAGTTTTTGTCCTCATTTGAAAATGCCTGTTGGCCTTTACGTTGTCTGTAATTTTCATGATGAAAGGACCAACAGAAACCGCCCAGAATTACTTGGAAAAATGTCTGGTTCCATTGACTTACATTAAAAGTAAAGTATGTTTTTTACTTCTCCTGTGAAGTTACCGTTTTGGAGATACGAGGTTTTGTTCCTGACAACGGTGATATTTTCATTAATGTGGGGGGAGTTAAATCTCTGCAAATTGACAGTTAAAGCATTGAATGTTGCAGTGAGTTCAAAGCCTTTTGTATTTGCTCATATAATCATGAACAAATGACAATTAATTATTGTCCTTGATTTTCTCCTGAACCTGGCCTTTTCTTTTCTTTTCTTTTCTTTTCTTTTCTTTTCTTTTCTTTCAAGGTCCCTGTTGAACTCGTATGCTCAGCGTATATATGGTGATCTCGGATCGATGATGGGGGTCAGAGGTCATTTTCAATTAGCGGCCCAAGCCTGAGTGCTCGGATATCGGACCGTACCCAAATGCTTTTATTTATGAGGTCACTGCAGTTGAAAGTCAAATGTATTTGTGGCCTTTTGATCCAAACGGTTCACCCCGGTCGAGCTTTTCATCAGCGTCAAGTGATTTCCGGAACGTCTTAAAGAACCTCTCCTTGAATTTCATTGTGCTACAAACAAAGGCAACACTTAAAAGTTATAAAATGTGGAAATCCAGTCGATCGAACGCTGCTTTGTCCGGCTGCAGGAAACTATTTATATTGGCTGCTCCCCTCCAGCACCTCCTCGTCCCTCCGTTGGGCCTGAATATATAATCGCTGTTGTTTTGGCCGCGCCCGAATGCTGCGATTTATTAGCCGCTAATGTTTTTAAAGTTTCTTTAATGCTTCTGCTCTGGATTGTTTATGGGGAAACACAGTGGCTGGGAAAAGGTGGGGGGGGGGTATGAGGACGGTGAAATGACCTCACACCACAAGCCCCCCCACTCCTCAATTACCCCCCTCCATTAGCCGATGGCTCCTCATTCGTGTTTGTGTAGCCACCCCGACGTGCTAAATTAGCCAGTGTCATAAATAACCCAAACCCTGCCGGCCGGTAATAGAGTTTTGATCTGTTTTACAGTCACAGTATCAAAGCCGCTCCTGACAAGGCGGTTCGGGCCACTTATTAGAGAGCCAGAACACACACCACATACACACATACACGTGCACATACACACACCTTTTACAGAGGAGCGGACATGGCCGGTGAGAAATGGATGCCCTCCTCCCATCTTATTCCATTCACTTGCCCTGTTCTCCACTAATGGCTCAGGCAATTAAGGTGGGGAGATTAATTTGAATTTGACTTTCAATTAACCCTCTTTCTCTGTCCATAAATACGCTGCGGAGTGGCAGGGGGAGTGGGCTATTGATATTTGTTTAGTGCTGTTATAAAGGCAACTGACATAGATTAGAATTACATCACTGTTGCTGCATGGTACACACACGCATAGCCCTCAAACGTTCATTATACTAATTAATGATTGAGGTCTGCTGGTGTTGAAAGGGTAATGTGATACAGTCACTTTTAGACTATGGCAGACTCGAATAAACCGCTTACTGAATTACACTCTGCTATTGACGCTCACAGCTGACGTGTTTATTAACTCATAACCCACTTAAGGATAACGTCATAACATCGGACACTAGAGACCGAAGCACTGGTATAAATTGTTTGTGCTATTGTTGGTCAGTTCTGCCCAATCTTGCTCCTGGTGGACAGCCCTCTTAAGCTTCAACACAAATCCTGCAATGTTTAGATGCTTTTTATATGGACCTTTCCTCTGAAATTAGTTCAAACTCCAGTCCCACATAAAAAAACGTAGTGTTCAGATCTTAGATATTTACATAATATATAGATTGTTATGATCCATTTTTACACTGATCATCCACTGAGATATATACAGAATTATCATTTGTAGGGCACTTTCTACATTTACACTTGTGAAATAATGCTTACATTTTAAAAATATTATTTTAAAGATTTTTCGATATTTTTGAAGCAAAGTTTTAAATTTAGATTTGTGAGTTTAATTTTTAAATAAAAAAAAACTTCATTAAAAAAAAAGTGCTGTCCCATATTTTCATATCACTACCGAAACACAAAGAGTTTTAGTCTGCAGGCGGAGCCTTATTTTAGCCCCTGCATTTTAGAGCAGGAAGTGAGACTGCATCCATGTCCCTTATGACCACACGGTGAGCAGTTAGATCCCACTGTTTTGAAGTAAATGTGTTACATTACATTTCCAGTACCTTTAGTTATAGAACATAGTTCTGTTGCAGTTATAGTAGCTCAGTACATCTTGTCTCTTGTTTTTCTGTTTTACAATGTTATGAAAATGTACAAATATGTGCCTTTCCATTAGGAGAATCTTACTGAAGGTACACCGTTGGAAATTAAGATTAATGTTGTACTTTTGAAGGTACATTAACACTGTTTGTACCTTGGTGAACAAAAAATGTGCCTGTACGGTAGATTTTTTAGTGACCCCGAACCTTGACGCACCAAACTGATGACAGGGAGCTGATCAGCTCACTTTTCTTCTTTGAAAAGTTGCATGTAAACACACTAGAGAGGTAACGCCTGATAGCTGACGTGCATTTACATGAATCAGGAGGTGGCCGCCTGTATTCATGATCAAAACAAAAACTGTAAAACCCAGTATTGTGGATATTCAGACGAACTTTCCTAGCTATAATTTTGAATTTAGTGAATTTAAACAGTCTGCTGACAATCACCCATGTAAATATGTCTCATAAACTGTTGCTACTTGCTCAGTTTTGTTAAAATCTGTGTCTGTGCCCTCTTGACAGTGTCAGTTACTCGCTTTACTATCTTCTGTTTCTCTTCTCCTACACTGACTGGCTAGGCTGAACAGCCAATCAGAGAACTTTCTCACTTGCAGCTGTCGATGCCAGTTCAACAAGCTCACATCAAGGTCTGGCCTGGTGCTGACGAGTTCTGTGGGCAGCAGATGTGTCAGGGCTCTAACCCTGAGCTCATGCACAGTACTCCCTCTATCCTGCATTATAACTACAGCTGGGCATTTTTACACTTTCCACACACATTTTTCCTTCTACTTCCATACTTTGCTGAGAAAAGTTTGTCTCTGAACGGTTGACAGCCAGGAAAGAGAAGGTCACACGCTGACTGATGGCCTCTGCCTTCAAAAAGCATTCTATTTTTTTATTGATTCTTAATGTTGTAAATTAACAAATTTATTTGGCAGCAAACAGAAGGCGGCCGCTTAAGTTGTTGGCGTTTAAACTCCCCTGATGGTGCCGCGATTTGCATTAATTACCTTGCCACTGCACTCACTGATATTAAAAGGCGCAGTCGTCATTAATCCTTTTTATCCTGAGTCATTTTGGCACAATTTCTGGCAATAAACAGCTATAAATAACGGAGAGACCCAAAGAACAGTTGCCGCTTCGCCTCCATATTCTTATTGCCGCTTGTTCCCGGCAGCACCGTTATTGATAGGTTTCAAGGGGGTCTCGTGCTGCATATGTTGCCGCTCTGATGCGGGCTAAGTGGATTATTTTGCATAAAAAATGCGTCATGTTTTTTTGGGGGGGCGGGGGGGATGTCGCACGATTAACCTGTGTTTAGAAAAATGCCCTGATTTACGAGCCGCCTGTGTGTTTTAGATGCGTGCATTATGGAAATTTGGGAAATTTATAATCCATTTAGTTGATGCGGCCGGGAGGGGTTAGTGCAATCCTTTATACGAGGTCTGTATATTTTAATGTCCTGAAATGGGCTTTTTTAGGACTATTCCAGTACATTAGCTTTATGTCTTTATGACTCGCCTCGAGTGGTTGGTGGCGTCTCAGGTCAAGGTCAGGATTGACGTTTGTAAAGTTTGAGGCTGAATTTGTGCCTGTTTTATTTCAGCTAGGTTAGCATGTATTCACACTGTGATATGAGCTACCAGTTCTGTTGTGACTATTAGGTTTCTGGAGACATTCAAATCATTCGATATGTACAGTACTGTGCAAAAGTTAGAGACCACCCTTAATTTTGATTATTTACCAGTTAAAACAGCCAAAAAAGTCATTTATTTTTCAGCGTCAGGAAAAAGCAAAAAACAACATTTAACAAAAAAATTACACTGAAGCCTCCACAACTAAATATATCGTCACAGTTTTCAGAAGTGCATCCAAACTTTACCTTTGTAAGAGCTTCCATTCTTTTCCGGAGACTCACTTTCAGTTTTGCAAAAAAAAATCTGCAGCCACACCTCAGAAGTTCAGTCTTAGAAGTTGGTTGCACTTTCTGCTTCTTGCGATCACTTGGATCCCAGAGATGTTGAGGTCTGGACTCTGGTGTGGTCAGTCCATTGTTCTGAGAGCATCTTTGTTCTGTTTTCTTTTTTTTTTAGTAACGACTTTCCCACTCATCTTTTTGGACACGTAGCATTAGCCATGTTTACATGAAGCCTTATAATCAGTCAGATTGGCAAAAATGTTTGCATCAAAACGGTTGAGTTGTCTTCTCACAATGAAAGGTTGGACAGGATCACTTACATCTTTCCTAGCAAATCCAAGCATATCTGCGCTTAAAGATGCATTATTAATAATGCTTTATGTGCATTATTCTGCACTTGTGGGGTTTGTACACCCAATTAGAATTGAACAGGCTTTTTTGTTACTGCAACTTTAAGACTTGTGGATGTTTTCAGATCTGAAGCAGCTTGATTTTCTCCTCTCTCTCAAAGATGAAAGCTTTAAGTGCTGTTTATCTGATGGGGACAGTCTTGGAAACTCCTGTTTTTTACTTACTGTCCTTTGACTTTCTCCTTTCTCAATGCAAGTGGATTATCTCATATCTAATCTTCCCTGAAAACTAAGAATTTGTTTTTTGATATTTTTGAAATTTAAATAAATGAAGGGTGGCCTCTGACTTTTGCACAGTACTGTAAGTTAAAGGAACAATTTTGCAACAAATCAAAGGTGCACAATTTCCCCTCTATCTCATATGTAGTCCATAAGTAAAGACCTGTTTGTCTGAATTTTGCTTCTCTGCAGCTACAAGACTAAAATAGCTAACAAGCAGTGGAAGCTTATAGCTTACCTACCATTTAGCAAAGTTGGACTATAAGCCCCAAATGATACAATTGCCTCAAACCATATTGAGTCGTTACGTAATTTCAAGTCGCCTTGCTTATGTGGTTTCTGACACTGTATAACGTACAGGCTGTCTGGAGCCATAACATAGTGTACCTTAATGTGCTGTCACTAATCAATTTCATTCTCTCTCTCTTTCACCTCAGGCTCTGTATGAGAATATGTTAGTGGAGCTCCCGTTTGCCAGTTTCTTCCTGTCAAAACTGCTGGGCACCAGTGCTGATGTGGACATCCACCACCTGGCATCTCTGGACCCGGAGATGTACCGGAACCTTCTGTTCCTCAAGAGCTATGAGGGCGACGTGGAGGACTTGGGGCTGAACTTCACCATCGTCAACAACGACCTGGGAGAAGCTCAGGTTAGGAAGGAGGCTTGTGTCATGGCCATCATCCTCTCTTCCCATCTCTCCCTTGCTATGTCTTGCTTTTTTCCCCATTCCTTTTTTTGTGCTGTTAATGATTGATCCGGATGCTGGGGCTGTGTGCTTCAGTGGTTGAGGTGATAAAGCACGTTTCTCTCTCTCTCTCTCTCTCTCTCTCTCTCTCTCTGTTTACCAGCACAGTCATTCCACCCTGTGAAAGCAGCTTATTTAGTCTTGCAGCTAATAATCCCACAGCAACACTTACTGTTCTTAGTCAATGTTCTCCTAGCATATCTACACATAAAGATCCCGTATACTGAATTTTTTGCTGTATTTTATTTTCTATTTACTACATTTGCACACTAAAAGCAATCAGAATCATTTTTACGTGACTGTTTTTCAACCACTCTTTATCCCCTAAGAGTAAACAGACTGCGACTTTAAGTCTGATGTATTAAATGACCTCTAATTCTGATTAACTGCCCTGCATTGTGCTTCATCCAAGAAGCAGTCCGGGCTGAAGTATACAGAACAAACTTTAAAGTTCAAACTCAAAACCTCTGGGACATGGGGAAAAATAAACGATCCTTCCTTATGGATTTGTGAATCTTTTGAAAGACTGCAGTGATTCATTTGCTTCCTGACGGTCAGGAACAGCACAACGTTTAATCGTCTTCCCACACTTTCCACTCTTTCCACAATAGGTTTATCACTCTGCATTAAAATGTCTAACAGGTTCTAGATACTCATATCATCTCTATGAACTTTCTGAAATGGTTGGTTGGCCTTTGCTTTCAATGTGAAGACAAAATCATTGGATCATTGTTGTCTACAAAGTGATTATTGGTCACCTTCCTTCATATTTATCTGCATTTATATCAACAAATAAGTCAATTTATGTTCTGATACTTATATTCAGCTGGATGTTCCGATAGTACGATCTGAATATGGCAAGGCAGCTTTAAGTCACAGGGCTCCTTCTGCGTGGAATGATTTGCAAAAAGATTTGAAATTTGAGCAGTTTATTTCCGTGAGTGATTTTAAGGTAATTGTTAAAGAACTGTATCATTCTGTTTTTGTTTTTAATTAGTGTTTGACGCTGATTTGATTTTGTTGGTTGTGATGGTGGAGTTTCTTTGTTGATTGTTTTGTGTGCTGCCTTTTTGGACAGGGATCAAAGTAAAAGAGATTTGTAAAAGAGATTTTTAATCTCAATGTGAATACCCTGGTTAAATAAACGGTAATAAAAGGTAAATTATAAATAAATAAAATAACTCTGCTACAGACTGTCTGCAGGAGCAACACTCCGCTGTAGTCTGTAATGCTTTTTGGAACGAAAGCCTTCAACTGTGTTAACGTTGTTCGTCAGTCTCTTATTTCAAAAGAGTTTAGAAAATTTCAAGGAAAATTTGTTTTCCAGTACTTTTTAAGTCTATATTATTTCCATGGACTGATTGTGGTGAGGTTCCCTTTAAAGCGTTTCTGCCTTTATCCCTCTGAGTGGCGTTATGATCATACTTTAATGTACTTGGTCTCATTTTTTTGTTATGTTTCAGCTCACAAAACACCCAAAGTAGATATTTACACAAGTAGATATTCATACATTCTTGGCTGAAGGTCTTTGAGAAACAGTGCTGAAGCTCTGTCCTCAGATAATCTCTCTTTCTCCGATTCTCTACCTTTATATTTTTCCCCCCAGGTGGTTGAGCTGAAGCCAGGGGGAAAGGACATCCCAGTTACCACAGCGAACCGGATTGCCTACATCCATTTAGTGGCCGATTACCGTCTAAACAAACAGATCCGGGCGCACTGCCTCGCCTTCAGACAGGGACTGGCCAACGTGGTCAACCTGGAGTGGCTGCGCATGTTTGACCAGCAGGAGATACAGGTAATGCTTAGCCAAGCATGAATAGCATGCTGTCATTGCTTTTACTTAGACAAAAAAAGGGTTGTTTTAGGGTTAAAAAGAAAGTTGTATTTAAAATCAATGTACAGTACTGTGCAGAAGTTTTAGGCATGTAAGGTTTTAGGCAATATTTAAATAAATACATTTTAAAAAGCTATTTAATGAGCGGTACGTTCTTATTTGTTCAGAAAAACACTTACAGCAAATACAAAGTTCTTTTGCACTTTGTACTGTATGTAACTACAAAAGTTGATGTCATTTTTATATTTAGTCTTAAAGTATTTAAATACACATGGCTAAAAATGTGCTAATAACTATCAATGTAGAGATATGTGACCCTGTCCTGGTCCTGGACCAGCCCTTCCCTGCACATTTTAGTTTTCTGGCTGCAACACATCCCTTTTAACTTAGAGAGGACAGTTGGGTCTGCTATGTTGCATTCAAGGAATCCCTTAATATGATACTTAGGGGTATTTGAGTATCAGGAGTGGGGAAACACTGGTTTAGACCATATTGTTGCTAATAGAACAAAACTCATAAACGAAACCTCATATCCCCGAAATGGTAACTCTACAGGGGGAAGGAAAATGCCTTCTCTTGTAGTGGCAGTTAATTTGGTCCATTCATTATGAAATTTTAACACGATACATAGTGTAACCGGAGTTTTCAAATTATGCAGAAAAGTAAAAAAAAGATTTTTTTGCTACTTACATTTATGTATTTAGATGCATTTTGTACCTATGAGAATTTAATATGTATTATATTTGTTGTTGGTGATATTTCTTAGGTGTTGATCTCTGGTGCCCATGTGCCTGTCTGTCTGGATGACCTGAAGAAGTTCACCAACTACTCAGGTATACTTCAGACGCATCTATCTTCATTTTCATATATGTGTTCATATTTTTGAGAAGTATGTAACTCAGTGAATCCACCAAGTCTGGACCGCATGCTTTGCTCATTTTTTTTGTTTTCCATTTTCTGCTCACACCTGAACCAGTTTATTAATTAGTCAGTGAGTTTATCAGATGTCCTAACACTTAAATGTTCATCCAGCAAGTTCCACAGGGTTGGGGTTGAAAACCAGTGTTGTAACTGCTACAGATTTGAATAGTTGTTCACTGTACCAGCCGTGATCACTTAGGTGTTCATTTAGGTTGCGATGAATAAGTCACACTTATGGTATGTTCACATTACAAGCCTCATTGCTCCAATCCAATTTTTTGCTCAAATCCGATCTCTCCAACATGATGGTTCACATTTGTTTAGGTAAATGACTAAAATCTGTCATTAATATGACGAACCGGCGTCCTGAAATGACCCGCACGCGCACATCCTACTCAGTAACGTCACGTGAATGAACCACGAGCATCATCAGCACAAACTAACAAGTAGAACGAGCTTCGCTGTGAAGATAATTAACTCTGATCAGCTCTCAGCTTCATTATTAGAGCGAGACGAAGGAGAAAAAAGGTGAGATGAGCTGCTTTTCCACCGTTTACAGGCTTTAACTTCTGTTCGGCGCTGCTGCCATGGTAACGCTGAATGATGGCGCAGGCGCAGTGGAAAAAAAGCACATGAATTCAGATCTGAGTGTCACATTAAGGTCGCATGGCCTTGAATCGGATACGTATCCGATCTAGGACCACATATGAAAGTGCCTCAGGTCAAATTTGAAAAGATCAGATTTGTTTGTTCACACAGCCCTCAAAACATCAGATCTGAGTCACATTAGGGCAAAAAATCAGATTTGTGCCACTTTAGCCTGGTAATGTGAACACAGCCATAAATTTTAAATTGAGTTGATTGTTTACATTGTTTGTCATGTTCATCATGCAGGCGGCTACTCAGCCACTCACCCAGTAATAAAGATCTTCTGGGATGTTGTGGAGAACTTCAGTGAGGATGAGAAGCGCAAACTGCTCAAGTTTGTCACCAGCTGTTCACGCCCTCCGTTACTGGGATTTAAAGTAAGTAGCAGTGAAGAAAGACACACATACATAAGTAGAGCTGCACGATAGGGCAAACATTTTATACCACAACTGTGTTATGTACTAATGTTTTATACACACTATGTTACAATATTGATTTTCTCTGACATCAGATAAGTGGGAACAAAGTAGTTCTACATTTTAAAAAATACTATGAAAACTACAAATACTATAGTTTAACGTTCTACAATTTTACACTAGTTTAACTGTTAAACATTTTACACATTACGCTGCACAAAATCCAGTTAAACAGTTCTAATTATACTCTCTGTGTAATCAAACATGCAGTTGGGAAGTGTTAAGTATATGCACGATATGCTCAAAATAGCATATCGCTGCTGTCGGACGAAAACCTTGTATCTCCGTTTTTGACGTTTTTCAGTTTCTGACATAGTCTGAAAATGCCTGTCGCCTTTACGTTATGTATAAATTTCATGAAGAATGGACCAAAAGAAACAGACCAAAAGAAACGGCCCAAAATTTCTTCCTGACAACGGCGATCTCATGACATATTTTGATGTAATTTATCACAATAACTATAACTATCATATTACTCAGATCTGTACACAATTACGTACAAAATCTGTCACCTAGTTTTTTTAAAGTCCTGTTGCAGTATGAATTGTATCAAGTTTTATTTGTATAGTTTTCTGTATATACAAAATGTAGCCTACAGTTGTTGGTACAAGAAAGTACAGTTGAACATAGCTAAGTTTTCAGTCTAGCTGTATTTGTCAATTGTTTTCCAAATGAAACAGACTGCAGAAAATAGCTGTATAAATAGCTTAATAAATAGCTGTTTGCAAGAAGTGCTACTTAGAAACCATTCTAATTAGGGATGGAAATTTACAGACATCTGAATTTATCTTATTATTTATTTAAAAGGCCCAAAACTCTACAACCAACTCAGCAGATATTGAATGAACAGGTTAACAGGTTCCTCCAATAGTGTTCAGACTGAAGTATTTACTACATAATTCACTGAAAAACTGTAACATACAAAGTATAGGATTATTACATACCGTCAGATCGGTTCCTGGTGGCTATATTGATAGTCTCTCTCCATAATATCCTCTTATGTTTGGGTCTTCAGGCTGCTTGTTGTCATGTGTCCATCCATCTTGTTGCTGTTCTCTGTTTCACCTAATCACATAATATGTCCAAAATACGAGCGTCATCTTGGCTTCAAGTGATAGGTGAAGCTTCATTGGGTCAGGAATCACTTTTGCTGTCCAAAACTTTCATGTGTGCAAGACTTCGCCAACACCAAAGTTCAAAGGCATCAGGATTTTTCCTGTCCTGCTTTTGCCAGCTTTCACATCCTTAAAGAACCACAGAAAGACCATAGCCTGGACAGTTCTGGTCTTGGTATTATGAACATATCGTTGCAAAAACCTTATTTTAGCTAGTGGAAACTGTTGTGAGATCACATGCAACCTTCACACAAATGACAGTATAATAGGTTCTCAGAGAGAAATCTGAGTATAATTCATTTAAAAATGTGGGTATTAGAATAGTAAAAATGGTTAAAATCAGTCCCTAATGCTCGCGCTTTGCCTCTGATATGGTCAGACCTGTTGAGATGGTGAACAGCTCATTGTAAGGTCAGATTAGACATACAGCATGTCAACAGAAACCACAGAGCTGTTGTTTATGCAGGTGCTCTGCTTTTGTTTTGACCGTTAATCGCATTTCAGAGTTCAGGGGAAGTTCACAGAGATGCTCACCTGCCCAAAGGTTTTGTAGTTAGCATTTCATTCATTTCATTCGTTCCTGTTATCAGCAGTTCCACTGCAGTCGTCTAAAGGGCAGGGGGTCTGCTTAAAGTAATGGAATGATGTTTTTGTGTCTATATTGTCACTAATATGCGCTCAGAAGTTTAGTTGAGACATTGAGAATAATCATTTCCACATTAAGCTATGATAGAACGATTCAAAAGTCTTATCTGAGTGTTTTTGCAGGTCATGACCGAGTGCGTTATGCTTTGATTTTTGCCCAGTGGGTGTGACCACAGCTGCCTGACTGATATAATAAGAGGCTGTGAATGTAGGCCTGGCTAAATAACACTTAGACAGCGAGTTTACCTCATTCCTTATCGGTTTCGTCACCGGGTCTGAGTTCATGCCCAAATAGTAACCCTTTCATGCATGGAGAAAATTAAACGTTAGCAACCACTTGGCTGAATCGTGAGACCAGTTTCTTCTGTTTAAGAAGAGCCGTTATCTTTAGTTTCATGGTTTACTTGAGATCTGACACCCTAGAAATGTGATCGGGTTATCGAGTACTCAGGCAGTCGTTTGAGGTGCCAGTATGTAAGTACTGAATCGGCTTGCTGGTAAAGCCACAAGCAGGAAAAGTCCCTCTCAATTATGGAGATCTACCCAAGTACAGTAGTCAGTACATCCCAGTGTTATTTAAGCCAAAAGCTACAAACTGTTTGAGGTTTGATTTTATCAGTGATTTCTAATGTTTTGAAAGAATAATTTGACCGGTAGTGTGAAGTGTTTAGGTCTTTCCCCATTCAAAGAGAGAGGAGTCTGATCTTGTATGATTGGAAATAGCTGCCAAGGCAGCTGTCGGGTGAACAGACCTTCCTGTAAGGACGTTGGCGCATTATCAAGAACATGTTGCCAGGGATGTGACTGAAATGGTAGAGATAGCACGGCCGCCTTTGGCGAGGCTGTATCACTAACCAGGCTAACTACTCTAGCTGACGTAAGCGAGGTCCACAAGCTGTGAAATATGTTTCAGTGACAAATAACATGTTGGCACATCATCCAGTGAGGAGAAGATACCATCATTACTCATCCAACATTGTTACTCATCCAACACAGAAAACTTCAGATTTCCTTCAGATATTTTTGAATAATAAAACTTCTATTTCGAGTATCGTCCTGTGCGTGTTGATAAATGTTTGTGCTGTCACCTAAAAGGTAAGCCTACAGCCATTACATTAAGGTCAGCATTAATGTACTACATTAATACTTGAACCTCAGACTTTGTCAGAATGCACACCCCTGTATAGCCGGTAACAGGACTCCAGTGATTGTCTCTGGTGTACTGGTCCACACAGAACACTCAAAGTTCAGTAGCTTCTTAATTAAAGTCATATTTAAGAAAATTAAAAATCAAAATGCATACTTTTTGTGAGGTTATGACTAATATTCTTATTTTTTTTATCTGTTTTTAATTATTAATGTGATAGGCTATGAGAGGGTGAATGTAGGAATGCAGAGACAGATATACATTTGATTTGCATTTTATACTTACTGTTCCTGTTACATTCATATGTATTTATGTAAATAGTCACATAATAAACTACATTTATATTCAGTGTACATTCTGTATTGACAGGTTTGAGTCTGCACATCCAACTTCTTACTGTTTTTCCGAAGTCGACAAATAACAGCAAAAAAAAAAATCCTGCAAAGCAAGACTGTGCTCATAACTTTTTTTATAATAAAAATTTCACCTCTTTTACTTAAAAACACGCTAATAATATTGAAAGTTTAATATCTGCACTTGCCACATAATTTCTCCACTTGTTCCAGTACCATAGGGGACTCAGGGGGTTAAATGGAGTCATGGACTAAATTGCGCTTTTTTTGATTTATTTTCTTGATTTATCACCGTTACAACAGCGCCAGCTGTCAGTTCGTCTCAGCTCGTCATTGACTCACCAGATTAATTGGGTTAAATGTATTTTGTTTAGTTGTTTTTGTCTTCCTTTCAAAGTTATTGATGTTGGTGATAATGGGCGGAATATTTATGCTCTTATTCTGCATTAAACACTTAAATTGAATGACTTTTAATGGCGTGAACAAAACACTGCTGTATGTTTAAGTGAGGGAAGAAAAGATGCAGTTTAAAACAGTGGGGGAATAAGTTTTACTGGTGAGAAGGAAGAGAGGCTGTTTAATGAATTTGACTTTGTAGCGGTCGGAGAGAGAAAGAGCGAGGGAGGGCTGGAGGAGAGAGAGCGAAAAAGAGACGGAGGAGACGGTCCAAGGCAGGATGCCCTCTCACCTCTACCTCCTCTCCAGCCAGCTCGGCCTTAATTAGGTGCCGTTAAACACCCGGGAATTCATTAAGGGAGAAATGGCCCTGTCAGAGGAAGCCATTTAAAAAAGATGATGGAAACCCTTTCCTCAAAATGATGGCTCCCGCCCTGACACTTCCTCGATAAGCAACGATACTTTAATACGTTAATTGTTAGAAAAATGGGGCTGTTAAAACAGAACCCCCAGATCGGTTTAATCGGGTTCGCTTCGGGGTTGAGCCCCACCGCAGCCTGCGGGCAGTCGCTAAAAGTCAGTGAGAATTTGTGGCTGGTTGTGTGAGATTTCGTGACAGCGCTGACCTTCTGGGTATTAGTTGTCAAATGTGGTGATGATTTCAGTGATGAAAAGCGCTCGGCCCTGCTCTTGTATCAACATGCCGTATCCCCGCCAGGCAGATACGCCGTCAGCGATTTTGCTTTACGTTGATCGAGTCAAGCTGCAGAGATTGCTAACAACAGCTGAATGAAGTTTTCTTTAGCTAGTCTCATATGAGTCTCTCATGATTACTTGACTTGGCTGTGTTGGGAGCTCCAGTATAACTTGGCTTGAGAGCCACTGCGCAGTTGTAACAGTGGTTGAAGTTTGGTCAGTTGCACTTGTGCTGGCTGTAGTGCACTCCTAAAAATAAAGGTGCCTTTGGCCTCCCAATCGTCCTGATCCTTGGTGAGTCAACTTATCAAATGTAGAATTGTACATGTAAAATATTAAACTGAAAGAAGTCGACACTACAACATTTATTTCCAGTTTATTTTTGAAAACAATCAGTGTGTTTATCTGTGTTGTCCATCTGCTATTTTTTTCTTTGTACTACTGAATTTGTTCAGTAAAGTAAGGATGCAGCCAGACCCTTTTCAAAGCAAGTTTTAAGCCATTTTGGTCTGATATTCAGATAGATGATCCGCTGTCCTTTGTTGGGTTCATCTAAGCTAACCGAAATCTTTCCATAGACTAACAGCTTCCTCTCCGGTCTAGGTAAATAAATTGTGGCCGCACCACTTTACAGACAGGAGTGAAGTTTTTATACAAGATGACTCGTGTGCACACTGTACGTGCACAAACTGAGTTTAAGCCGAATGTATCAGCTTTTGACAGCATCAACCATTTTCATTACACCAGGAATCCAAGAGAGCATAATTTTCCTCGCTCTCTCTGGATGGGTGAGATCTTACCCCCTAATTGCTCAGCACAAAGCCCAGCCATGCAGGCATCTGTTAGCTGACCTAACAGAATTAGTAAGTTAGCGTTCTCCTCCAAGCATGTTGAGCTGTCCAGTGACGTTGCGTTAGCAGCAGTTGGAGTGGGGTTTAACGCGTCTCCGAGGAAGCATGTACTACCTTTACCCTGCTAGCTTGGTGATGTTGTATGATGGGGGAGACCTTGCTCGCGGATGGACTTAGCCACATTAGCTATGGCTAAAAGAAGGATTCTCTGTGTGATGCTGTAGAAGAACCACTTTTTAGCCTTAACGTGGATGGTTCTTTGGAGAACTAGTTTTGTGAATGAAAATATATGAGTGTCAAGAACCTCTTTAAAGTTTTGAGAACGTCCAAATAACACACCCTTAAATTGGCATAGAACCTGTACATTATGTGAAGGTTCTTTACACCGTTAAAAGGTTCTTTACACTCACACTTTTAATGGTTCTGTGGGGAACCAACAGTGGTTCTAACACCTCTTTTTGTTTTTAAGAGTGTAGTAATGCTGGATTTCAGCCATTGCTATTGGAGTTTGCGTTTCTGCTCTATTTTTTAATTGAAGCTAACTCTGTGTTCCTCTGCTGTTCTGGTTTCTCCTCAGGAGCTGTACCCAGCCTTCTGCATCCACAATGGGGGAAGCGATCTGGAGCGCCTCCCCACCGCTAGCACTTGCATGAATCTCCTCAAGCTGCCAGAGTTTTGCGACGAAGACCTAATGAGGAACAAACTCCTCTACGCCATCGAGTCCTCCTCGGGCTTCGAGCTCAGCTGAGACGTGATTGTCTTGCACCACTAGAGAGGTGAAACGTTGTTGCCAGGGCAATGGGGACAGGAAGTGACCGGCTTAGGGAAGGGGCAGGCTTTCGTCTGCAGCAGATCTGCAGTGATTCTCCAGGAATAGTAATGTGTAAAACAAAAGAGAGACATTAAGAACAAAAATGCCTCGAGTGGAACCTCTGACCTTTTGAAGCAGGAGGATGCTCGGACACTCGTGCTGGAGGCTTTTGGGTGAGGACAGGGTGACACCAACTGTTTTGAAATTTTAACAGGACTGAATTTGGATCAGCATCAGTGGATTAAAAGCTGCATCAGTGGAAGCGATTCTACTGCTCAAAACCCTCGATGAGAAACACCAGACATCATAGACGCAGCAGTGCAATCTAATAACATGCGATGCATAATTCACCAAAGATTTTGCTAGGCTATTGTGAGAGTATTTTCAAGTTTTGCAGTGCTAATTTGGATGTTTTAAGAGAGACGAACAAGCTAAGAAGTTAGCTGCTCTCGGTCATGATTGTGCGGAAGATGTAGCTTTGCTAATAAAGACACAGAGGTTAGCTGTACTAACACAAGGACTTGCTAGAACATTAGCCTCTCTAATACAACATCATGCTAAAACGTGAGCCTTTAACACGAGCAGATACTAAAGATTTGGCTTTGCTAGACGATCTGACTGCTAAACACTTCAGCTGTGCTTATATGAGCCTTTCATACAGGTCTGTTACCATTTAGGCTATGCTGTCATTTTAGCTATGCTGGTTTTCATGCTTTATACAGTAGCTAAAGGAGTCATTTTTCAGAATTGAGTTCAAATGCTAAGTGAGAAAATATTCTGAATTGCTAAATATTTTCCACCTTCATGGTTCTGAAAGGCAGCAGCTGTTCAGATTCGTAAGTTTTGATGTATTAGTGGGTAGCCGTTTTTATTTGGGGAATTCACCTGGCAGTTAAAGACTAACAGTGCTGTGCAAAATTGTCAAACTTCATTTATGTCATTTCCAGTCAAAACGGCCAAGGTTTTCAGCTTCACGCAATTAAACAGGAAACATTTAACAGAAGCCTCATAACTAATGTAATATCAAATCTTTCAGTATTTACTGGGTCCACTCCGTATTACAGCTTCCATTCTTTGCAAGAGGCTTTCAGTTTTTTAAAGAAATCTTTACACACTTTTCCAAAGTTCAGTCTTAGAAGTTGGTTGCACTTTCTGCTTCTCACGATCCATTATTCTAAAACACTCTCACTGGTTTTGAGGTCTGGACCTTGTCCGGGCCAGCTCGATTTTCTGAGAACACCAGCAGCTTCTTTGTTTGACGAGCCTGTCTCCTTTTCTCAGCGACAGCTACACATCCTTTCAGACCCACAGCGCTGAGTCGTCCTCTCACAGTGGAAGGATGGACAGAAACACCTGTGGATGTTTTCAGATCTGAAGCAGCTTGATCTTCTCCTCTCTCTCAAAGACGAAAGCTTTAAGTGCTGTTTATCTGATGGGGGCAGTTTTGGTGTCAACCAGGTCTTCCAGGTGGTTGTTAGGAGCCCCATTTTCTCTGTAGCCTTTAATCTTTTTTAATAATTTTTGAACCCTAGATTTGGAACCTTTGACTTTGTCCTTCTTGGAGTGGAGTATCATACCTGTTCTCAGAAATATCTCCAGAAAATTAGCCGTTTTGACTGCAAACTAAGTAAACGAAGGGTGATCTCTGACTTTTGCACAGCATTGAATATTTTTAGAGGAAACATGAAGACTTAAAAGGTTACAGGGAGTAATAGGTGCAATAGGCGCAGCATTTGAGCATTAGTGTGGTAATAAATGATACTCTGGCCCAGGAAAATTCTTCAGATTCCTCAGATAGAAGTAGACTGATGGCATTTTTGTGAACTGATTGATGCATTTGGAGAGCACTGTTAGATGTTAGTACACGGTTTAATGAATGTGTGGTTTTCTCTACGTGAACATCAGACCGTCATGTAAAACGGGACGACTGCGTACGGACAGACTCTGAAAGGGACGTTTGGGCTCAGCATGGTCGTCTTCATTTTGTGTACTCAACATGTGGTGAAAAAAAGTGTGTCACTGGTTGAGCCTCAGCACTGAAACTGAAACAATGTGCAATAACGTACGCAATCATGAGCTCCAAAGCCGTCTGAAAACTGCAAACTTAATATCTATATTCTGTTTTTTTTGCCCCTTTTTCTTTAAAATATATAGCTGTTTGTGTATAAACGATTAAGCAATGTGAACTCTTGTTCCCAGGCTCCAGCATGTGCCTATTCATGCTATTCATTGCAATAGCACTTCATTTTTTCTATGTTTTCTGTCCACTCTTGAATGCTAAGCAATTCTTGCAGCTGCTGCTCCCGTTGCAGACTCTGCTTCGCCCCCTGCTGGAGACCTGACCGCAATGGACATGTGAATATGTACATGTGGACAGCTTTGAATATGTGGCGTTCTCTCTCTCGCTGTGTTTTGTACAGTTTCCTCATCCTTTCTCGAATCAGATAGCCCACCGACTTTAAAGGTTCAGTCAGCAGTTTCCAAGGATACTCATTAAAGGTGCGGTCAACAATGTGAGCCTAAATCTCCCAGCATTTTCATTAAAGGTGGAATCAGAATTGCCATCCTGCACCGCCCAGATTTCATATTGAAGGTGGAATTAGATATAAGATCATATGTCTCCTTGCGTTCACCATTAAAGGTGCCATCAAGATTGTGATCCTACATGTCCTGCATCTGCATTGAAGGTGGAATCAGCAGTTTTAAAAGATGCAGTCAACAGAATGGGTCTCCTTTTCCCCATATATTTATTAAAGGTGGAATCAGTAGTTTAATCCTGCATCTCATTGAATCTACATTAAAGGTGCAATCAGTAGTTTGATCCTGCATCTCATAGAATCTACATTAAAGGTGGAATCAGCAGTTCGAGCCTACATTTCCCAACATGCTTTTTAAAGATGCAGTCAACAGAATGAGTCTACAACTCTTCATATCTTCATTAAAGGTGGAATCAGCAGTTTGGTCCTGCATCTCATAGAATCCTCATTAAAGGTGGAATCAGTAGTTTGGTCCTGCATCTCATAGAATCTTCATTAAAGGTGGAATCAGTAGTTTGATCCTGCATCTCATAGAATCCTTATTAAAGGTGTAATCAGTAGTTTGAGCCTACATCTCCCAACATGCTCATTAAAGATGCAGTCAACAGAATGAGTCTACATCTCTCCATATCTTCATTAAAGGTGGATTAAGTAGTTTGGTCCTGCATCTCATAGAATCATAGTTAAAGGTGGAATCAGTAGTTTTGATCCTGCATCTCATAGAATCCTTATTAAAGGTGTAATCAGTAGTTTGAGCCTACATCTCCCAACATGCTCATTAAAGATGCAATCAACAAGATGAGTCTACATCTGCCTGTATCTTCATTAAAGGTGGAATCAGCAGTTTGATCCTGCATCTCTCAGAATCCTCATTAAAGGTGGACTCAACAATATGATTCCTCATCTTTGCATCCTCATTAAAGGTGCGGTCAGCAGCCCTCCTTAAAATCCTGATCAAAAAAGCCACAATACAACCTGAACCACACACCTGACTGTTTACAACCCCAGTGTTGAGCGTATTGTTTGAGAATTGTGCTGAAACTCGAAACATCCCATGTGTCCTGGATGATCGCATAACACGACTTTCTTGTCCTGAACACACAGACAAAAAAATCTATGTATCAGATTGTATGAAAAATAATTAAAATGTCTTTTTTGGGATTTTATTTGCAACAGAAATCTGTGTTTATTTGATTGAGTTTGTGTGCGCTCGTGCTGAGAAAGTGTGCATGCCTGGTTGAAAGCTTCATTTCTAAGTTTTATGGCCTTTGACATATAATTAAAGAAATATCCAGTGATGAAACATAGAGGGAGGCCGATCTGGCCCGGAGAGGCGCTTTTTGCTGGGCACAAATTAAGGCTGTGCGCGTTTGTCATAAATCTATTAGCCGGAGAAAGTGAGTGTGAGATGAGAGTTTTTTTTTTTTTAATTCATCCTTGGACCATTTCCATACCCCCCGTTCATTTCCCCCCTCTTTCTCTCTTGCTCTCTCGCTCGCTCACTCTCTCTCATGGCTATAGCAGCGGTCAGCTCCCTCCCTGAGCTCAGAAAGGGCTAATTGGGTCTTAAAAACCCGACTTGTCCCGTAGATATGAGGGATTGATCTCAATTATGGGGAGATTTATTTGAGCCTATTACCTTATAATGGATTGCAGCTCGCAAACTTAATGCTACTGGCCGTGAATCATGCCATGAGCTGAGCAGCACTGGGGTATTTCCAAAGGCTTTAAGAATCGTCCTTAAAGCTCCTAAGGTCAACTTATTTTATGCTGGAATACGAGAATCGAAGCGTTTAATCCCAGGGAATTCATTAAGGGTGATGGATGGGCTAAAACTGCTGTTTCACTGCGGTGCCTGGTTTTCCCCTCTAAAGAGAGCCGTATTCACGCATTAATGTTCTTCTTTTCTCCTTTAAGGCAAATCTGTAGAGATCAGTGTTTCTTAGACGTGGTTACAGGTTAGTCTGTTCTGAGAAAACTGACTGTTCATTCACAAATAAATAAGTGAACAAATAAATATTTGCAGCCAAGGGCCTGTATAACAATAACTTTCACTAACATGCCTGTTATATCACCTTGGAATCACCTGTTATATTAAGAATTATATGTAGAATCATAACTTCCTGTTATCTTTTTACTAACATCTTTTATCCTTGGGGTCAGTTCTGGTGGGAGATGTTTTCCCCTCCCTCATGACATGTGAACTAGCAGTGGTTCTCACACTGCTACAGGTATGGTTATATTAAGTATGCTAAAGGTGTGGTTATGCTAGGTTAGGTAGGTTACAAATGTGGTTATATTAGGTAGGTGACCTAAGTATTTTACAGGTATGGTTATGCTAAGTTGTAACATACCTACCTAAGACAAGCACACCTGTTACATACCTGTGTTACAGGTGTGGTTAGGTTAGGTGTGTTACAGGTGTGGTAATATTAGGATGGTGTGAGGCTGTTGCTAAACTTCCTTCGGGATCAATAAAGCATCCGTCCATCGGTCTATCTATCTATCTATCTATCTATCTATCTAATAGTCTCTGTCTATCTATCTATCCATCCATCAGTCTATCTGTCTATCTAATAGTCTATCTATCTATCCATCCGTCTGTCTGTCCATCCATCCATCCATCTATCTACACTGTATTTCCAAAGTATTCACTCACCCATCCAAATCATTGAATTCAGGTGTTCCAATCTCTTCCAAGGCCACAGGTTTATAAAACCAAGCACCCAGGCCTGCAGACTGCTTCTACAAACATTAGTGAAAGAATGTGTCGCTCTCAGGAGCTCAGTGAATTCCAGCGTGGTACAGTGATAGGATGCCACCTGTGCAACAAGTCCAGTCGTGAAATTTCCTCACTACTAAATATTCCACAGTCAACTGTCAGTGGGATTATAACAAAGTGGAAGCGATTGGGAACGACAGCAACTCAGCCACAAAGTGGTCGGCCACGTAAAATGAGCGGATGTTGAGGCGCATAGTGCGCAGAGGTCACCAATTTTTTGCAGAATTAATCGCTACAGACCTCCAAACTTCATATGGCCTTCAGATTAGCTCAAGAACAGCGCAGAGAGCTTCATGGAATGGGTTTCCATGGCCGAGCAGCTGCATCCAAGCCTTACATCACCAAGCGCAATGCAAAGCGTCGAATGCAGTGGTGTAAAGCGCCGCCACTGGACTCTAGAGCAGTGGAGACGTGTTCTCTGGAGTGACCAATGACGCTTTTCCGTCTGGCAATCCGATGAATGAGTCTGGGTTTGACGGTGTGAACGGTACTTGTCTGACTGCATTGTGCCAAGTGTACAGTTTGGTGGAGGGGGGATTATGGTGTGGGGTTGTTTTTCAGGAGGTGGGCTCGGCCTCTTAGTTCCAGTGAAAGGAACTCTTAATGCTTTTGATTTTGGACAATTTCATGCTCCCAACTTTGTGGGAACAGTTTGGGGAGTTTGGCCCCTTCCTGTTCCAACATGACTGAGCACCAGTGCACAAAGCAAGGTCCATAAAGACATGGATGAGTGAGTTTGGTGTGAACTTGACTGGCCTGCACAGAGTCCTGACCTCAACCTGATAGAACACCTTTGGGATGATTTAGAGCGGAGACTGTGAGCCAGGCCTTCTCGTCCAACATCAGTGTCTGACCTCACAAATGCGCTTCTGGAAGAACAGTCAAAAATTCCCATAAACACTCCTAAACCTTGTGGAAAGCCTTCCCAGAAGAGCTGAAGCTGGTATAGCTGCAAAGGGTGGGCCGACATCATATTAAACCCTATGGATTAAGGATGTCACTCAAGTTCATATGCGTGTGAAGGCAGACGAGCGAATACTTTTGAAACTATGGTGTATATAGTAAGTGGAGCTGATAAAATGGACAATGAGCGTAGAAACAAGGAGTTATAATGTTATGCCTGATCAGTGTATGTACAGTATATGTTGTATACAATAAGCAGTTGCCTACAGTTCAAACTCTTTAGAATGAAATATTCACGGCTACTTGAACTGTTTAGTGTATTGTACTGTATTTTCTTTTTTCTTCTCTTTTGGTCTGTACTTCCTCTTTCATCTTTAATAATCAAAACCATAAAACAGTTGTCTGATGATGCTGTTAAACAGAATGTGTTAAAAATGTTCAGCTGCTCAAAGAGAGCCGTATATTTCTTATTCATGGTCCAGCTGAACAGGCTGATGATAACATTCCTGAACCCACATTTGTCAAGCGTGTTGGAGCAAACACACTGATCTCAGATCAGGTCTCATCACTGCAGTGTAGCCCTGTTCATTGCCATGTAAAAGACATAAACTGACTCCAGATCAGCGGTTTTAGACACCTGATGAATGTACCTGGTGAGGTTTGTGTGAGGAGCCTCTCTGTAGTTGTGGAGGAACAGCAGCATTGTGGAATGCAGTAATTTGGTTCATTCAGAGGCTGACTCTGCCACCTGGTGGCCAACAGTGGAAAGTTACTAAACAATACATGGAATACTACTGAAAATAGTCTTTCTATTATAAACTGCTGTTTAGAGGATAAAGATGGTTCTTCAAAGATTCCTTAGTAGAGTAACACTCAAAGATCCCTTAGCATGATTAAAGGGTTTTTTGCATTATGACAGGGTTCATGTCCTGTAGATGGTTCTATATAGCAACTTTTTGAAAAGGGTTCTATATAGCACCAAAAAAAGGTCCTTCTATTGTTACAAGCTTGACATCGTAACCATAGTAGAACCCTTTATGGTGCTATAAAGAATACTTTTTGAAAAGTTGCTATATAGAACCATCTACAGGACGTTCTCCATCAATCTGAAGAACCCTTTTATAATGCAAAGAACACTTTAATCATGCAAGAACCGTTTTCTTTACTAAAGAACCCTGGAAGACTTCTTTTTGAAGAGTATGTATTGTATATTGTATATAAAGTGTATATTGGTTCATATGCAGAGTCATTCTATGATTGTGTCTGTGGGATTTATCATTAATGTCACCTGTGTATATAGTTTTATTTCTTATTTTAATTCTTAATTTAGTTCTTTTCTAATTTAGACAGAGAGACAGACAGATAGATAGACAGATCATCAGACGGACAGACAGACAGATAGACCATCAGATGGATAGATAGATTGACAAACAGATGGATAGGTAGGTAGGTAGGTAGATGGATGGATGGATGGATGGATGGATGGACCATCAGACATACATAGATAGACAGACAGACAGACAGATAGATTTTTAACATGTTTATTAATGAAAAAGAAAATATAGCACATATATAACACATATATAAATGAATTTGCTGAGGGGCGGGGAGTTGGGGGGGCTACACACTACTACACAAAACATTCAAGTACATATAGTGGGGTCCAGAAGTCTGAGACCACTTTAAAAAGACCGATTTTTTCTATTTAAACAAAGCAAAATAAAACGAAAAGTTGTAAAAAAAAAATTTAAATGTAAAGCAAAGAAACCATGACGAGTAAAATGAAGAATACTGAAGATTCTGCACTGTTTCCGGGTCACTAATCACACATAAGCAATGTTGAGACATTAACCATGTTAAGGCCTTTTTTACAGAATGATCAGAGCTTTTTTTTTTGTTAGTCTTATTGCTTTATTGAAGCTCGTGTTCAGACGACTCTCAAGTGGATCTGATCTGCTCACCAGAGGCTTTTACACAAACTTGGGGAGTCCACAGCAGCTCCACTGTCATCACAGCAAGAGGGACAAAATACTGAACCAAATACAAAGAAATTCTGAAATTCATGTTTAAATTTGGTAAGATTCTCCTTTTCACTCAGATTGTTATGCTGATAATAGAATTTGTGTTAAATAAGAAAGGAAAGCAAAATAGAAGCATGTTAACTTATTCACACCTCTGTTTTAAGAGGACTAAACTGATTCTTTATAATGTCTTTTTGAAAGGCAGCAAAATTGGCTGATACCTGAGAACATACACTTGTGAATATTCAACTTTACAGTATAAGATTTATCATATATCCAGTGCATTTCTCTCTGCGGTTTCCCAAAAGACCAAATAGTACATTTACACAGTAAACAAAACTTCACATCAATATTAAGAACAATAAAGCTGAGATTTTGCCAAAATGATTTTCACATATTGACAATACCAAAAGAGTGAAGAACTGTCGGGGAGTATTTGCTACAGAATAAAGAAGCTGGGTTAATCTTATGTTTACATTTTTTAAAAAAGTTTCCAGCTGGGTAGATTTTAACTGACATGTCTGTAACCCTGTCACGTATTGGCTACGTGCTGGTCAGATTTACTTACAGTGCTTTAAACATGTTTTTCATTAGGAAATGCCCTCTCATGGGTCCGGTCATGTGGCAAAACATTGTTTATTGAGGTTTTGTGAATCAGTAATTTTATGATGAAGTAGTGTAGGTAGAAAAAAATAACTATACACTGTTAGAAATAAAGGTTCTGTTCAGGTACATTTTTCGTTCATCAAGGTACAAACAATGTAAATGTTCCCTCAAAGGGACAACAGTGGTTTTTCCAGGGGAAAAGTTCGTATTTGTATCTTTTCATAACCAAATGTTTTAAAACAGAGCAATAAAATAAAAGCCTGGAGACGAGACTTGGTGTGTGGACTAAATATAATTTCAAAGGATTATGGTGCAGTAATGTTCCCTGACTAAAGGTACCGAGATGTACCCTTGAGGGCCCCACCCCAGTGACAGTTTCCTAGCTTTATTTCTGAGAGTGTATAGTGATAAAAATAGACCAGTACATGCGTATGCTCTACTATTCAATCGTTCAAATGGTGGGAGGGACTTCTTTATGTCTTTCAGGAGAAGTGAAACTGAAGTCCAAAGCTTTTCATAAGTAGAATCCAGTTTCTTTTCAGATGCAGTCGTTCTCCAGTTTCAAGCTGGTCCAGGTTTTCCTCTGAGGAACAAACACCACGACTTCAGGTGAACTCAAAAGCAGGGAAAAGGGCCCAGAAACTGGTAATGTCGTTTATTTGCTTATGTGTTATTGGTGAGAGCTTTGTCTCCTTCTTTTCTTTCCATCCTCTTAAAAACTGAGATCTCTCAATTCAAACACTCAATTTGGATTTTAGAGCTTATGTAGATTATTAGGTTTAACTGGAGTAACTTTAATCAGTGTCCACAGTTGTTTTTATATGGTTTCTCTTAAAAATTCACCTAGTCTGTGTAAAACTGTACTTGTGAAGTTATACTTAGTGTTTCTAAATTGCAATATTATTCAACCAGAATTCATCCAACTACTAGTTTTGTTTCATTCAGATTCATTGACATCTCTGTTATGTGAAAAGCTCTACAGTACATCAGTATTGATTTCTTATGACTCACTTATGCAGTCCACAGCAGGCTTCCTCAGATGGTGTAAGAACAAGGGGCATGCAAGTTCAGGTACCACCCGTATAGACCACCATGTCAAAAGGTATTCCAAATTGTGGGGGTGTCCAGTCTTATCCACAAAGGGCCGGTGTGGTTGCAAGTTTTCATTTCAACACTGCAGGGGATCACCTGGTCAGCAGTCTGAAGGCTGAGACCAGCCGATTGAACAAGTGGATTCAGGTGTGCTCCAGCTTATTTGGAGTAAAAACCTGCATGTCTGATGTATGAGTGCACATCATCCCTTACTTTGACCCCTGCCTTTATGAGCCTATGGATTGGCTTAGACATTTCATGCTCAGTTTGTTCCCACTCACATTTAGCCCAAAAATTCTCATGGTTGTCTCCGTATGAGATCACGTCTGGCTCTGCGAGACTACGCCAGAATGAGGGATTGTGACACTTGACTCTGCTTGAGAAAAGAGTCGCAAACAATGATTTTGCTCCATATTATGTTGCATACTAACTTTATGGTTTAGCTTGTAGACCTTTTCAGAGAAATCTCTAAACCAGGTGTATTATAAACCCTCTCTATAATAGCACAGTCACTGTCAGCTTTTCTTTAAATAGCAACGAATGACTCAATTCAATTCAATATATCCACTCTAGACTCATATCCAGCTCTTTAACAAGTATTTGGAAAGAAAATAACAAGGACATCACTTAGTCATTCGTATGTAAGTGAGCTTATATGACATTATGGTGGCCATGTGACAAATTATTCCTTAACGAGAGGAGTTTTTGTAAAATCGGTACAAAAGATATGAAATAGTCACTGGGGTGGTCCCTTAAGGGTCCATCTCAGTACCTTTAGTCAGGGAACATAACTGTACCATAATCCACTGAAATGATATGTTCTAAGCTGTACTGACTCCACACACCCCGTCTCGTCTCCAGGCTTTTTATTTTACTGTTCTGTTTTAAAACATTCAGTTATGAAAAGGTACAAATATGAACTTTTCAACTTATTTAAGGTTCACAATTGGACCTTAAAACCACTGTTGTACCTTTGCGGGAACATTTACATTGTTTGTACCTTGATGAACGAAAAATGTACCTGAACAGAACCTTTATTTCTAACAGTGTATCTTAGTCCAGTCAAAAATCCAAAAAGAATGAATGAATAAATGAATACATAATTACATAATAATAACCATTAAACATAAAAGGCAGGGCTTCACAAAATCAGACAACTGTAAATCAAGTTTTTGAGGGTCAACCATCTTATTTTTGGTCAAAATCAATGTTTCTTTCAAGATGTAATCATATGCATGAAAAAATGAATGTATTTTGAAAATAATACATAGTGATAAAAAATACATCAAAACATGCATGAACTCTACTAATAAATCATTTTATGGTGGGAGGGACTTCATTACTCATCGTGGTTTTGGCTTGCAGCCTTTTTCAGAGAAATCTGAATGGTTATACACACCCTTGATAATTGCACCGTCAGTATCAGCTACTCTTTAATAGGCTGTAGTGGTGCGAGCTGAAACATTAAGTTACAAGTAAATGTGTGTTTGATCTCTCTCTTACGTTCTGGTCTAACTGGTGCAGGTGCTCTTATTCTTGGTCCTGGTCCAGGACCCCCACCCTGCACATTTTAGTGTTTTCCTCTTCTGTTCACCCAGGAAGGGCTTGATAATTAGCTGGTGAGTTCAATCAGATGTGATGAGAGCAGAGAAAACACTAAAATGTGCAGGACAGAGATACTCCAGGACCAGGATAGAGAACCACTGAGCTAGAGATTTGACATTTTTAGCACTTAGTTTTCACAATTATATACACTGAGTTGCCAGTTTATTAGGTACATATGGGCAGAGTAATTGACCTTAATTACTCTGAATGGGGCTTAATATTTCAGCAGGCCTGTCCTAGCATCTTCCAAATGGTTGTTGTTCTGGGATTTTCATAGGTAAACCCACCATGGTTTCACCCAGAAAACAAAAAGACATAGCCTTGATTGACTCTCCCAAGGGTCACCAATCTTATCCATAAAGGGCCACTGTGGCTGCAGGGTTTTAGCCTAATTAAACCAGTACACCTGATTCCACTTCCAATTGGAAATTCAAACAACTGGTCAGGTGAGCTCCTGCTGGGCTGGAATGAAAATCGGCAGCCACACTGGCCCTTTGTGGATAAGACCGGTGTCATCTGTGGCTAAATTGTGGATGATAACAGCCTGTGGATTATAGGAGTCACAAGAGAGTGGCAAGAATCGCATTTCAGCACTGATGTGTGGCATTTACCTCAGAAAGCAAAATTATCAGACTTGGTCTGGAATGGGCCACAGACCGTGAGCCGGATTCATGAAAACTTTCTTAAAAAAATTGCGAAAGTTTTCAAGACAAACTATACGATATTCACAATAGCGTCGGGCAGGAGTAGATAAATTTAGATGCTTACCTCGTCAACTTACAGCTTAAGAGTGTAAGTGTGAGACCATCATAAGGATAAGTTTAAGTTACCCTTCATTAATCACACAACGGAGAAATTCACCTCCACATTTATCCCATCCGTGCAGTGAAACACCACATACACACTAGTGAACACATACACTAGGGGGTAGTAAGCACACTTGCCCAGAGGGGTGGGCAGCCCTATCTACAGCACCTGGGGAGCAGTTAAGGGTTGGGTGCCTTGCTCAAGGGCACCTAAGTCATGTCCTGTAAGCTCAGGGCATCAAACCAGCGACTTCCTAGTCACGAGGCTGGTTCCCTAACCTCTGGCTCACGACTGCCCCACAAATCTTTTAAGAACATAATATTTTCAGGAGCATCATTTTGTTCTTAGAATTATTCTTAAGAAAAAAGTTAAGAAAAGAAAATAAGATTAAGATTCGTAAAAAGTTCTTTGAAGAATAGTAAAAAGTAACTTTTTTCTTAAGAATGAAGTTTTTCATTCAGTTTTTTAAGATGATTTTCTTTCTTAAGACACTTTCGTGAATCCGGCCTCATATGTTGATGTTGCATCTCCAGTGAAAAGCAACATGAGTACATGGAGCCGTCCTGTTTGGCATCAGTAGTATAGTGTGGAGGCAGAAAGATGGTGTTGGGGAAAGTTTTCCTGGCACATATTAGGGCTGTGATACCCAGTCAAGAACATCTGAAAGGCACTGTGCATCTGAACATCATTGCTGACTTAGCTTGTACCTTAAGAGGTCCCCTTTAAGATGGACACTTTGAATATGATGGACCATGTCACAAGGCACGTATCATCACTGGCAACTGTGATCTGCTGGCTGATTTACACAGGTGTTTTTTGGTCTCAAATCTCCCTCATGGTGTCTCTGTGTCTCCTCTGTCAGTCATGTCTTCCTCCAGCAGTCTCCTGTCTGAAGATCAGCTCCAGTGCTCTGTCTGTCTGGATGTGTTCACTGATCCAGTCTCTACTCCATGTGGACACAACTTCTGCATGGTCTGTCTCAAAGACTGCTGGGACAGCAGTTCAGACTGCCAGTGTCCAGTCTGTAAGACCGATTTCAGTAGAAGACCTGAACTATCTGTGAACACGTTCATCTCTGGACTGGCTGCTCAGTTCAAGAAGCCAGTTCAGGTCAAATCCAGCAGAGCTCCAGAGAAACCTGACAAATCTCAGGTGCTCTGCGATGTCTGCTGTGAAAAGAAAAGTGCAGCTCTGAAGTCCTGCCTGATCTGTATGGCCTCTTACTGCAAGACTCATCTGGAACCTCATGAGAGAATCGCTTCATTCAGGAAACACAAACTGATGGACTGTGGAGAACCTGGAGGACTACATCTGCCAGAAACATGAGAGACCCCTGGAGCTGTTCTGTAGAGATGACCAGACGTGTGTGTGTCAGTTCTGCACTGAAGGAGACCACAAGACTCACAGCACTGTTCCTGTAGAGGAGGAGAGTGGAGAGAAGAAGGTGAGAGACATGTAGACAGAATTATTAATACTGTCTCCTGCTGTTGCATTAAAAATCCTTATTTGAGAGCTTATAATTTGTCTTTTTATCTTAGATTCAAATGGGAAAGACACAGGCAGAAGTTCAGCAGATGATCCAGGACAGACTGAAGAAGATTGAGGAAATCAAACACTCTGTTGAGCTCAATAAAGTGAGTCTTAACTGGGTCTCAACAAGGGCGTACTTTGCAATATTGTTAATTGATGATTATAAAAGCAAGATCACTAATTAACTTTTGTCAGTGTACCTAATCCCTTAACTGCCCATGACCCATTAGAAGGTCCAGGGTTCCTTCGGCCTCCCCCTTCAACCTAAGAATAACTGAGCTCATCTGCATTGTTTTCCATTAAATTACTTAGTAAGTCTCATGATGTAATAAATAATGTAACTGAATTTAATGTGTCTCCTGTTAGAAAAGCTCAGAGAAGGAGAAAGCAGACAGTGTGGAGGTCTTCAGAGCTCTGCTGCGCTGCATTGAGAGAAGCCAGGCGGAGCTGCTTGAGGTGGTGGAGGAGAAGCAGAAAGCAGCAGAGAGGCAGGCTGAAGAGTTCATTAAAGAGCTGGAGCAGGAAATCGCTGAGCTAAAGAGGAGAGACACTGAGCTGGAGCAGCTCTCCCACACTGAGGACCACCTCCACCTCCTACAGGTCAGAGTCCCTCTGTTTCTCAATAGTAATGCAGTCCATCACAGGACAGCACTCCCCATGCTGAGGGGTTTCTCCTCTCTCCTGCTGGACTGTAGGTTTACCCGTCCCTCTGCAGCCCTCCACACACCAAGAACTGGACTGAGATCAGGATTAACACTCATCTGAGGGTGGAGACTCTGAGGAGAGCTCTGTCTCAGCTTCAGGAAGAGCTCAGTAAGGAGATGGAGAAGGTTGTTGTGACTGGTACGTGTTTACTAATCAGTAGGAGCTTCTTCTGTGGATGCATGTTTGGTATTTTTCACTTAGGTCACACAGAAAATCTCACATCCTCAAGCATTAAATGTACAGTGAGGGGAAGCATTCAGATACTTTTTGTTATTGAATTAACTTTCAGGATATATATTTACTTCATGACGTATGAAAATCTCTGAAATGTATTTCTGTATGTTTATGCCAGTTTTATCAATGTAATACATACAGTTTACATAAAATGTTGTCCTTAATCTTTTACAAACAGAACTGAAGAGAATTCAGCAGTATGCAGGTATGTGTGCTCTCACTGATCACATGACTGGATATATTTCTTTGGTATTACATGTCATCATGTTTAATATGGGTTTAAATTGTGTGTTTTTCTCTCAGTGGATGTGACTCTGGATCCTGATTCAGCTCATCCTGCTCTCATCCTGTCTAATGATGGAAAACAAGTGAGAGATGAAGATGCAGAACGGAATCTCCCTGGCACCCCAAAGAGGTTCAGTCGTTGTCCGGGTGTGCTGGGAAAGGAGGGGTTCTCCTCAGGGAGATTTTATTCTGAGGTTCAGGTCAGTGAGAAGACTGAGTGGGATTTCGGAGTGACCACAGAGTCCAGTAACAGGAAGGGGGAGATTATTCTAGGTCCTAGGAATGGTTACTGGAGTATGTTACTAAGAGATAAGGGAGTGCATGTGGCTCTGGCCTCTACCTTTGTCCTCCTCTCCTTGAAACAGGCTCCCCAGAAGGTGGGGGTGTTTGTGGATTATGAGGAGGGTCTGGTCTCCTTCTATGATGTTGAGGTCAGGTCTCATATCTACTCTTTCACTGGTCAGTCTTTCACTGAGAAACTCCACCCGTTCTTCAGTCCCTCCCTCAATGAAGGAGGTAAAAACTCAGCACCACTGATCATCACACCTGTTAAAACTTCATAAATAAGATTTACCACAGAAACCTACTGTGGTAACAAGGCTTGACATTTCAGACAGTAATTAGAAACATTAGTAATTCTGAAAACAGAACATCAGCTGTTTAGCTGTTACTAAAACAGAGGTTCTGTTGGACCTTTTTGACTATCAGTCCTTTCTAAACTCTTTTATAATGTAATTATCAGTCTATTTATCTATATTATTTTCATTTTTCATGGTTATATAAACTGTATTATTCTTTTTTGTTAAAGGCAGTACTCAATAAAATTATCTTATATATGTGTAAATCTAGCCTTTTTATAATAATGGTCATGTCATATATTACGTCACAGTATTCATGACTATATATTCATATTCCTTACTTTCTACAAAATTGTATTTTAAATGTTTCCAGTAAATTGAAAGTCTTGCAGCTATGCTGAGAAAATTATCCAGAGATCATTAATACAATACAGTGGCTGAATGTCTGTCACCCGGTTACCAACTCTCACAAGTGAACACTTATTCTACAACAAACCAGGAAACTTTTAACATTCAGAGAATAGGTTGAATGTTTACAGAATGTATATTCCATATTATGGAAACACTTACTAAGTCATAGCCACGACTTAACTGTCTAGTTCCCATGCCTTACTAAGTCGGGGCCATGCATTATTTTTATTTATACGTGATGTCACCAGCAGGGCTCCATAAAAAAGAGCAACATGAGTGTAAATTTAATTTACTCCACATTGCAGTCACTCTCATCAAAAGAAACAGTGTAATAATCTTTTGGAGGAATCCAAATGTACTGTTAAAAGTTTTTTTTTTTTCTTTTCTCAATGCTGCAAAAAATACTTAAAAAGGTGGTTCTTCTTTAGTATAGAACCGTGAGTGCTATATAGAACCATTTCATGCTTAATTGTGTTCTTTGCATGGTAAAATGGTTCTTCAGATTGATGGAGATGTGTTGTAAATGAAGCTTTTTGAAAATGATTTCATATAGCACCAGAAAATGTTCTGCTGTTGTTACCAAGTCAAGGTTGTAAAAACCTATTTAAAATAAATAAGACCTTTTTTTAATATGTAAACATTATGTAAGTTTCTTGACGTACCATTAAGCCCCCTGTATTTTACTCTACCTATGGAAACTAAGCTTCAAAAAAATAGCCTGTTTTGCATCCATTGTTTTTGTGGTATCCCCAAAATGAATGCAATACATATCTGCCTATTCAGCTTACAGCGGTATAGCTTCACCCAGTCATGCTATGATAAGTGTTTCAGCCTGGACTGTTTTTTGAATGAGACACAGTACAATTGATGCAGACAATCAACAAAGGTCATTTACATATATTGGTCTTAAATGTGCAGTAACAAAAATTTTAAGATATAAAGAGTGTTTGAAAAATAGTAATTTAAATATTGAATGATGATTATTTTTTGGTGCAAAACAAACACACAACCATCATAAATGGACCTCAGGAGAAACAATAAGCTGAAAAATAATAACAAAAAATATAAGATATGGGACTTTTAAAATTAGATTCCAGTTCCAAACGACAGTTTACATACCTAAGAAAACAAATAAGGTTGAAATGTTACTCAGAGGAAGTGAAATTAAGTGTAAATACAGAAAGTGCAAAGCTGCTTCACATCCAGAGTCCAGCGCTTTTCATCTGCTCCCAGTGTACAGTTTGGAGCACCAGACAAAATGCACCAGAAAACCTCAAAAGAGAGCAGGAGAATGTGAAAGTAAAACAATGTAAATTTAGTAAAACAATCTTGGTAACACTGTCTATGAATGTCACATTTGTAATCATCTATAAACATATTTATAACATGTTATAATGCATTCAAAAGGCGTTATAAACATGGTTATAAATATTTATAAAAATGAATTACACTGAATTACACTTTACAGCCATGTTTATTATACATTTTGAATTGTTAATATAATGCATTATAAGTAGTGTTAATAACATGTTATACTGTCAGTGCCAAAGAAGTCAGTCCCAGCTTGGAGAGCGTAAAGTAAAGACAAATACAAAGTTTATTTACACCCTGAGATTCCCAGTATTTTATTTCTCAGCACTGGTGCTGTTAGAGCTGCATCTTCGGGACTTCAGTCTTGAGTATTCAGATGCTCCAAACAGGCTGACCAGCCTCGAATTACTGCTACAGTGTGCTTTTCTTAACCAGCGCTCTCACTTTAAATGTTACATTACATCACAGCAAACCAAGTACCCATGAGACCCTCCCCTGAAACCCCTCTGCCATCGCACTGAGCGTGAAGTCACTGAGGAGTGAAGGCCTGGAGAGGGAGAGGCGAGATAGTAGAGTGCTGTCACTGTAATTTGTTCTCTCACTGGTTATAATGTCAAGCGCTAGAAACCTTCCCTCTGTAACACTACAGTACAGTACAGTACAGTAATGCTAATTTCTGCTAGCGTTCTATCGGATAAGCAGTGTTAAGTTAGTGCCAAGCTAACGGTGGTGTACATTGACTCTCCCTCATTGGGTAAAACACTGATGGCAGCTCTAGTTTAAACTCTGACGTTTGAAGCCTGTAATGTGCTTTATTATGTTTTAGTGTTTCAGTAAATTCTTAAGTAAATACTTCAACTTGATTCCTCACTCTTAACACTGGAGGAGGCTTTAGTACAGTACGCTTCACTTTACTTAGAGGGGACAAATACAACTCACGAGCTTGTATAATTTGTTATGAACAGTACTTATAATGCATTGTGTTAACAATTCATAATACATCATAAGCATGGCTGTAATGCGTTTTTATAAATATTTATAGCCATGTTTATGATGCCTTATGGATGCAGTATAACATGTTATGAATGTGTTTATATATGCTTTCAAAGGTGACATTCATTGAAAGTGCTACCACAATCTCTTATACTGCAGAGTTGAAAATGGTTTAGGTCAGCCACTTTGGCACTTTTTCCAGCAGTAGTGTCTGCAGACTAGCTCAATAGCTTCATTGTTAAGTCCAACTTGACAAACAGCTAGACGTTCATATTTCGCTTTAGCATCATAACAGGAGATCTGTCTCTGTCTTTTTATATCATAGAGACAAGCAGTACTTATAGTGTATGTGTAATTGTTAATGATGTGCAGGTCCGGCCTGAGGGACCCGCTAAGGGTGTGCCTGGGGGGTGCTGAAGCATCCCCTGATAATCCTTCAGCAACCCCACAAGACTCCCCTGAAAAATATTCAGATGCTGATTTATATTTTAGATCATGAAAATGTATTTAAGATACCAATTTTCTACATTCTTTCCACATTCCTCAAAATATGCCTACACGCAAGTACTTTGTGTCCCCCGATCTCAGTTAGAACACACAGTAGATGAAAGACATAAGATCAGTCCTGTTCCTGCTGTCGTGAGGTTGTTGCAGTGGGTTATGTCTGGCTAACATTAGCTGTTTAAACATGGAACACTTTCTTATTCCTTTCAGTAGATAACGAAAATGCTGACAACTAAACAGCAAAGATAGCAAGAGTGACACCACCTCAGTAGTCAGTAGGTTACTTCATCAGTTACTGTACTGGCTCAGAGGCCAGTGTGCAGGCCCGTGCGTAGGGACTGAAGAGGAAAAAAGTATAGAGCCCTGCTGGTGACATCCCTCATAAATAACAATAATGCTTGGCCACACCGTATTAATACGTGAGAATGAGATCCTAATGCATGGCCATGATTGAGTAAGGTGTGAGAATGAGATCATGCCTTATTAAGCTGTGGTCAAGGAAAAGCAATCTGGTGTTCGTACACAGCCTTGGCTCTGTAAAATGGAAATAAACACCATTCCAGCCACTCGGCATCAGGGGACATACATGCTTGTACACAGAAAAGGAGGAAGAGGAGGGGCTGCATGCTGAATTCCACGCATCGTCAAGAAGGAGAGATGGCTGAGAAACAGCCAAAGAGGAGAACATCTGAAGAAAAAAGATTGAGAAAGAAGTTCTTAGATCAAGCAAGGGCGTTTCCATGGTGGATAGACCTTCGAAAGTTGACGAGGCTGAAGTTGGCTTCCTATTTTCCTGTTCCACCTTAAATCATGCAGCAGTTCTGTTCTGTCACCTGAATGTAACCGCTGTACCATTTAAAACAGAATGAGAACATTTGAACAAGAAGCTGAGGCGCCTAAATGTAACTGCTGCACCATTTAAAGGTGGAACGGGAAAAGTCATCTTCATCGAGATTTGAATGGCATGAAAAGGGATGAGGAGGTTGCTCTGTTTGTGCTTGACAGGTGGGTAAGGTTAACTTAAATATGCTGTTTCACCAATAATTGTTTTGTCCTGTTTGCTAATGTTTGTGATAGCAACTGGTTAGCTTCACAGCAGCAGCTGTAGTGACAGTTTGCTAACCCACAGTCTAGTTAACGTTAGCTACATTAAAAGATCTAAAAAACAAGTTTGCTAGCCCAGCGTCTTTCGTCTTGCCAATGCAGCCATGAAGTTGGGGGACAGAGCTTCTGAAGGAGCACTGAAGGAAGAGGTGTATTTGTTTTGCTGTTGAATTCAGATGTCAACAGTTGTTCTCCAGAGTTGTATACTGCGCCCCTAAGTCAGTAACTATAAAGTATTAGTACTTTGTTACAGGATAAAGTAGTCACATTACTGTAACAAGCTACTTTATCTTGATGCCTACCCACTCTGCCCATTCAGCAGTAACGCTGTTAATAAATCTACATGATCTTGAGACGCCATCTGTCAATAGTCATAGGGGATGCAACCTGGCATTTAAGACTGAAACAGAGAGAATAGTCCAAAGCATGATCAAACAGTCAAAAGTCAAAAATTGCTGGAAAACAAAGGTCAAAAAACTGAAATTTGGTTCTGAAATGCTGACAGTAAGTAGACAACAAGTCACAAAAAGCAGTGTGTCTATTAACAGAAAATAAGTGTGACATTCAGGACATTGAAAAAATGGAGGGGGGGCAATTGATGACACTGAGACCTTCTAATGCCGCAAATGAGAAACGTTTTAATACCTTCAAAACACTGTTAAACAAACATCTCTCAGCCAATGAGGAATTCTGATGCTTGCAGATAAAGTTGGCATACTTTTCATTTTTGACTGCAGATAATCTTCTTAGCTGATAAGCTGTTAAACCATTGCACAACTTTTCAGTTCCTGTAACTCTTCAGCAATGTACTGAAATATAAACCACATGTGAAGGGTTTTGTGAAGCTGGCCGGTGTCAATTGTTTTAAGTTAAATTCTAATTTTGGAAATATTGTAATATGGTTTTTGGTAATTAATAATAGATTTTGGTGAACACAATTGGTAAATATCTCCTACATTATGGTCAAAACTCATGAAAACCCTGCAAAGTGCTGGGAGTGGCCTCATGATGTCATGAACTATACAGTGCAAAACTGCACCATAACCAGTATCCAGTTCTCTTCAGGCGGACACCATCTCCAGTTTGAAGCTTCTCCAGCCTCCCTTAGAGGAAAACTCCAAGGAAACAGGGAAGAAAGAGATTAGCAGGAAAGGTGAAAAGGTATTTACTACTATTTGATACTGCTGAAATGACTTGATGTTGTTCAGATCATTTCTACCACAAATTGTGTATGTGTTGTAATTTATTTCTTAAATCCAACATCTAAATATTAAGAATGGTTTAAGGTCCATCACTTCTAACACTTACTGTTGTTACCATTTCTTTGAGACCTGTTTTAGCCAGACAGTGTACTTAATGCAATGAACAGGTTAGGAAACAGGTTGAAAAACAAGTTTTGGAACAGGAGAAGCAAGAAATTTTAATCATGTTGATCAAATGCCTTCGGTTTTAACATTTTATGATGACTTTTCTTGTGGCAAAATGAATGTACTGTCTCTGTCTTTTATTAAGTAACTGAAAACAGTCAAGAAAAAAAAAAGGTTTTCTGTGGTATACATTCCTCCTAATGCCATCATTGTGTCTCCTCTGTCAGTCATGGCTTCCTCCAGCAGTCTCCTGTCTGAAGATCAACTCTTGTGCTCTATCTGTCTGGATGTGTTCACTAATCCAGTCTCTACTCCATGTGGACACAACTTCTGCATGGTCTGTCTCAAAGAGTACTGGGACAGCAGTTCACGCTGCCAGTGCCCATTATGTAAGACAGAATTCCCGAAAAGGCCTGAGCTACGTGTGAACACATTCATCTCTGAACTGGCTATTCAGTTTAAGATGTCAGATCAGGCGCAACCCAGTAGAGCTCCGGTGCAACCCAGTAGAGCTCCAGAGAAACCTCCCTCCAAACCTAAGAAGGTTCTGTGTGACTCCTGCTCTGGGGAACAGCTGGAGGCTGTAAAGTCCTGTCTGGACTGTGGAGTATCTTACTGTGAGACTCATCTGATGCCTCATAAAACTGCAGCGAAACTCAAGAAGCACAAACTGATGGACCCTGTGGAGAACCTGGAGGACTACATCTGCCAGAAACATGAGAGACCCCTGGAGCTGTTCTGTAGAGACGACCAGACGAGTGTGTGTGACCTTTGCAGTGAGAGAGACCACAAGACTCACAGCACTGTTCCTATAGAGAAGGAAAGTCAAGTGAAGAAGGTGAGAAATAATTCAATGATCAGATTGAATAAAAGCATTTGCCATGTTTTCAAACCAAAAATCTGGTGTCAGTGGCTATAATGTGTATTTTTGTCATAGACTCAACTGGGGATGAAACAGGCAGAAGTTCAGCAGATGATCCAGGACAGAGTGAAGAAGATTAAGGAAATCAGATGCTCTGTAGATCTCAATAAAGTGAGTCTCAATAAGGTCTTATTCTGTAGTCTTCAGCAGATACTCATTATAATCCACAAAGAATATTACAACTTATAGTGGATCAAACTGCATGCAACTTTTCAAATGATCTCGAACTCTGCACTGTTAGAAAAGCTCAGAGAAGGAGAAAGCAGACAGTGTGGAGGTCTTCAGAGCTCTGCTGCGCTGCATTGAGAGAAGCCAGGCGGAGCTGCTTGAGGTGATGGAGGAGAAGCAGAAAGCAGCAGAGAGGCAGGCTGAAGAGTTCATTAAAGAGCTGGAGCAGGAAATCACTGAGCTAAAGAGGAGAGACACTGAGCTGGAGCAGCTCTCCCACACTGAGGACCACCTCCACCTCCTACAGGTCAGAGTCCCTCTGTTTCTCAACAGTAATGCAGTCCATCACAGGACAGCACTCCCCATGCTGAGGGGTTTCTCCTCTCTCCTGCTGGACTGTAGGTTTACCCGTCCCTCTGCAGCCCTCCACACACCAAGAACTGGACTGATGTCAGGATTAACACTCATCTGAGGGTGGAGACTCTGGGGAGAGCTCTGTCTCAGCTTCAGGAAGAGCTCAGTAAGGAGATGGAGAGGGGCGTTATGACTGGTAAGTATTTGCTGACCTTGTAAAGCTGAGAAGAAGTGTGATTTCAGGAATTTAGGTTCTTGATACCATTTGTTCTGGGCTTGTTAGGTAGAGATAGTAATAGTGTAGAGAAGTCCTACAAATTACACAATAAATTGACAATAAAGCCAAATGATGGACAGGCTGACCTACGGCAGTCATTTTCAATCGTGATGAACGCAGATGGAAACTAGTTGTACAGGTCTGTGGGCGGGAGCACGACAAAACATTTAGGTTACAGGCGGGAGTGGGACAAACAGTGCACATTTTCTGTGGGAGTGGGATAAAAACTTGTGAGAGTGGTGCTAAAAAAAAAATCTATCCCATGCAGACATGGATAGCTTTTAGAACATGTTTTGCAGTATGTTTCTCATGGATCGGTTCTCCTGACCACGCCAGAGCTCAAATAAAAATGCTTTGCTTGACCAACTGTACCAATCTAATGGTAGAGAAGTGTTATTATTTAGTTGTGGATTGTTTAGTTGTGGATTGTTCTCTAGTTAAAAACTCCTTCTAGTTCACTATGCTTTGCATCCTTCAGTGTTAAAGTTACAGTATTGTAGTTTATACCAATAAGAAACTTGTTTAAGCAGAATTTAAATGATGTTGTCTATTTCTCTTGTCCAATCAGAACTGAGGAAAATTCAACAGTATGCAGGTGTGTGAACGTCTGTTGATTACATGAATAAATGCATGTGTCTATTCCCTGCTATCTGTTGCAGGATAGTGTTAAATTGGTTTGACTGATGTCTTTTTTTCTCTCAGTGGATGTGACTCTGGATCCTGTTACGGCAAATCCTTATCTCATCCTCTCTGATGATGGGAAACACGTGGGATTTGGAAACATACAAGAGAATATTCCCAACAACCCAGAGAGGTTTGATCGCTGTCCCTGTGTGCTGGGAAAGGAGGGGTTCTCCTCAGGGAAATTTTACTATGAGGTTCAGGTCAGAGGGAAGACTGCCTGGGATTTAGGAGTGGTCAGAGAGTCCATTAACAGGAAGGGGGAGATTACAGCTTGTCCTAAAGTTGGTTACTGGATGATGTTTCTGAGAAATGAGACAGAATATGCTGTTGTGGACAAATCATTTGTGCCCCTCTCTCTGAAACAGGCTCCCCAGAAGGTGGGGGTGTTTGTGGATTATGAGGAGGGTCTGATCTCCTTCTATGATGTTGAGGCCAGGACTAAACTTTATTCTTTCACTGGTCAGTCTTTCACTGAGAAACTCTATCCACTATTCAGCCCTTATGTGAATTATGGAGGTAAAAATTCAGCTCCACTGGTCATCACACCTGTTGAACAGTGTAAATGAGGTTCATTTACCCCTTAAACCCAATCAGTCACATGTATCCTAAAACACATTACACAGTTAATCAATGAATGAATGAATATATAAAGTCACGATTTACATCAATGGATGCATCTCTAGGTTTGTAACAGTTACTTTCTGTAAAGGATGCATGCATTTTATTCTTCACATCAGTTTAAAAGAATATTCATAAGCCTTTTTTCACATGCATACAATCTCTTTCATGCATACACACATATGTAACAGTTCCTGTTACTATCTTTGTAATGCTATATATGTTAATATTATCTGTTAATTATACATGATTGCGTTCTCTAAAGAAAAGTTTAAAGGAAAAAAATTCATTGCCTTTCGATCCAATGTTTGGACCACAACAGTTTTGAACCCATTTTTAAAGCTGATTGTGTTGCCTTAAAATGATGAAATAATACTGCACTCTGAATAAATACAAAATGTTCACCAAAATCAAAAAAATAGAAAAAAGCTAAACTAATTGAAAAGATTATGTCGTTTAAATGTTGAGAATTATTCTCATTATCTATTATTTTGTGCTCAATCTGATTTTCTCTCTAATACTTAGCTTGTGTTGTCTGTTATCTATATGCTGTCCTATACTTTAAGCTTTTTTATTTTAGTAAATAGCTTAGCTGCTAACAGCTAAATGCTGTTATTTTGGTCTATTTGACTTTGTTAGAGTAGTAGAAGGGCCACTTTGTTGTTTTCTTGGACAAATACATTCATGCTTTAGAAATAAATAAAAATCTTGACTCATATTTTTCTGACTCGTATTTGTTCTGTTGGTTGGAGAGGCTGGGCATCAGCAGTTTAATAGTGGGGCTTACCGAGGCCTGCATCATCCAATGTGTTCTTTGGGCCCGTGCTCATGGGGGGTGTGCCACTATGGTGCTGCACAGGTCTTGTGTATCACAAAAATTCATTGACCACCCAAAAAAGATATCCAGGTGGGGACCCACCAAAATTCCTGTCTCAAGGAGTGCCAGTGTCCAGTTTGTAAAGAGGAATTACCTAGAAGACCTGAACTATCTGTGAGCATGTTCATCTCTGGACTGGCTGCTCAGATCAGTCAGAAGTCAGGTCAGGTGAAATCTTACTGCAGGACTCACCTGGATCCTCATGAGAGAATTGCTTTATTCCAGAAACACAAACCTGGAGAGAGAACCTGGAGAACTACATCTGCTAGAAACATGACAGATTCCCAGAGCTGTTCTGTAGAGTGATCCATGCTAGTCCCACAGCTTGCCCAGAGCAGTGGGGAGCCCTATCCACAGCACCCAGGGAGCAGTTGGGGGTTAAGTTAGTCACATACTGTCGGCTCAGGGGATCAAACCGGCGACCTTCCGGTCATTAGGCTGGTTCCCTAACCTCCTCAGACAGACCACAAGACTCACAGCAATTGTGTGTCATGTTTCCAAAATAACTAGTGGATTGTGATTACCTGAGCGACCCAACAGGGACACAAAATCATTTTGCCAAGGTAAAGAGGTGCAAGACCATAAAGAGTTTTAATTGCTAATTAACTAATTGTAAAATCAATTCTAAAAATCTAGGTAGCCAATGAAGAGATTTAAGAGAAGGTGTAAGGTGATCTCTCATTCTGCGCTTCTGAGCAGTGTTGCAGTACACTCTTAAAAAAGATGGTTCTTCAAGGGTTTTTTAGTAAAGACAACGGTTCTATATAGAACCAGGAACTCTCAAAGAACCATCTGCATGATTAAACGATACTTTGCAGGGTGAATAGTTCTTCAGATTGATGGAAAATGTGTTGTAGATGGTTCTATATAGAACTTTTTTTGAAAAGAGTTCTATAAAGCGCCAAAAAGGGTTTTTCTATTGTTACAAGCTTGACATCGTAACAGTGGCAGAACCCTTTTTGATGCTATATAGAAGGGCTCCAGCCCATGTTCTAGCTCCATTCTCCAGTCCTGCTTCAGTCCACAGTTTGGCTCTTTGTGCCAGTTCAGTTCCTGACAGCCCATGTCCTGTCCCTGATCCATGTCCTGTCCCAAGTCTTTTTCTTGTAGCCTGTCAAGACTTTCTGACCCAGTCCCTGTTAGCAAATCCATCTTTGTCACGGTCCCAGTTCCCTTCTCTGCACCAAATCCAGTCTCCTATTCAGTCTTTTGTTCAATACCATGTTAAGGCTTGCATCAGTTCCCCTTTCCAGACCCCCTTCCCTGGTACTGTCCCTGATGCTAGTCCTTATGCTTCTTATTCACACTGGTAGTACTGAAACATTTGAAAATGGGGTATGTCTCCATCAGAATGTCAGGTTTGAAATTTTCAACTACAAAGGCTATATGACTGGATTATTCTTAGCTGCAGCACATTTTGTAAAATACAATTACTGGTACAGTTCTCTGTGTGTGAAGGAGTAGCGGGATTACAGGATGTTTCTGAGGTGTATGGATTGGCTAGCATGGTGAGAAGTTCAACCATTTTTAGATCTTATTCCTCAGAGTAAATAGAGTTGATCTAAGAAGTGATTGGGTGAGCTGCTGCTTGTCTACTCTTTTGCAGTCTAACAGCAGGTAAGATAGATTGTAAAGCAGATTTGCTGTGAACATTCACAATGCAGTTTAGGATGATCTTGTTAAAACTATTATTACACTTACATTACACTAATCTCCAATGATTAAGGCACCCAAGAGACCATGTACCCCGCCCAGGAGGGGATTACCGAGACCTTCCCCTGGAGCCAGTCCTGGGGGTAGTGTTCCTTGGCAAGCACCTGGTGGCCGAGTAGCCCATCTAACCCAGCTCCCGAAAAGGCAATGTGGTGGGACCATGTGGGCCCACTACCCGCAAGGTCAGTCATGGGGGACCGGTGCAGTGCCGTATAGGAGATGGGAGATGGTGGTGAGGTCCTTTGCGGCATGGACCCCTGCAGCAGAAACTGGCTCTCGGCATGTGGAACGTGACCTCACTGGGTGGGAAGGATACAGAGCTTGTGGGGAGGTTGAAAGGTACCAACTAGAAATAGTCGGGCTCACCTCCACCCACAGTGTTGGTTCTGGAACCGGTCCCTCTTCTACTCAGGAGTTCTCACCTACCTTGTGGTGAAAGGCGCCAGGTGGGCGTGGGGCTAATCACAAGTCCCTGGCTGGCTGCTGTGCAGTTGGAGTTTGTGCTGGTGGATGAGAGGGTCACCTCAATGTGAATTAAAATCAAAGGGAGTAAAAACTCTCACTGTTGTGTGTGCTTCACCAAACAACAGTTCCGAGTATTCAGCCTTCTTGGAGTGAGTGCATGGGGTTCTAGAAAGGGCCCCACCAACAGACCCCATAGTCTTGCTGTGAGACTTCAATGCTCATGTTGGCAGTGACTAGGAAACCTGGAGGGCGTGATTGGGAAGAACGGCCTGCCCAATCTAAACTCCAACGGTGAATTGTTATTGGACTTCTGTGCTAGTCACGGATTGTCCATAACGAACACCAAGTTGAATACCGAGTGTACTTGGTAGCAGAGCTCCTTGGGTTAAAGGTCAATGTTCGACTTGATGTACTTTCATCTGCCTTGGGACCATATGTCCTGGATACTCTTGTGAAGAGAAATGCTGAGCTGTGAACCGATCACCATCTGGTGGTCAAATGGATTAAATGGCAGGGAAGACCGGTTGTCAGACCAGGTAGACCCAAGGAATTGTGAGGATGTGCTAGGAACGACTGACAGAGGCCCCTGTTCGAAATTATTTTAACTCACCCCTCCGGGAGAACTTTTCTCATATTTCAGAGGAAGTAGGGGACATGGAGTCCAAATGGACCCTGTTCAAAACCTTTATTGTGGAAGCTGCCAGGCGAAGCTGTGGCTAAAAGCTTGTTGGTGGCTGTCAGGGCGGCAACCCAAGATCCCCCTTGTCGACACCAGTGGTAAGGGAGGCCATCAAGCTAAAGAAGGAGGCCTTTAGGGACTGGATGGCCCAGAGGACTCTCAACTCAGCAGATAGGAACCCATGGGCAAAAAGGGTGGTAGCGGCACCAATGGCTGAAGTAAAATCCAGAACGTGGGGGGAGTTTGGCAAGGCCAAGGAAAAAGACTTTGCGGGGTGCCAACTGAGCTTAAGAAAGAGCTGTTCTAGGCTGTTCAGGAGAAGAAATATACAGAAATCTGTGTATTTGTATTTTTTTGTTATTCAGTGTTCTTCCGAAAAACCAAAGTATGTACTTTCAACACAAGGTAAGTGGTTTAGACAGTAGTTTGTTTCAGTCATTTTGTAACGTTTACCTTCTATATTACGCCATAGCTAGCTACCCTTTTGCAACTTGTTCTGAAATGGCAGCACCGAAGTAAACAATGAGGTTCTTTGTACAAATGTGATGTGTTCCAAGTATTTGTTCCTAGTAAGAAATACCGTCTGCCTTAGAAATGTTATATCAGCTTTACACTTAAAAGCAGTCTCCTTTTTATTGTTGTTTATTTGAGGGAATTAAGATGAATATAATCTAGACTTCACATGTGAATGTAATGCGGAAATGCATGTTCTGGAGCTGCAGATAGATTTGTGTATTTAATAGCATTGAACATACAGTAGGCATTTTCAAATTGGTAAACGGTTCAGAATAAAATTTGCATCTCAGTCTGATGACACATTCACTTCTTCCTTGTCATTCTAGACACACAGAGAGAGAGGGAGAGAGAGAGAAAGAAATAGATCAACCATCTCCAGCCATCATACAGCCATCCACTGTTATGATGCTGCCTTGTGCACAGCTCAGGTTCCTGTAGGTCTGAGGCCGAGAACATGTACATTATGCCTCAGTTATGTGGTCTTCAGGCAAGAAAGTCGAGCTTATACACACGTCTTTGGTCTAAAATGGACTGGATGACTGTCCATCTGTACAGATCTATCGGACACTATCAAGCTTGCAGTGTTCAGGCGCAGCAGAGGCAGCAGCTCCAATATTGTTTGCGACGGGGCTGGATGTGTCCCCCATTTTGACAGGCCTCCTGACTCACGTCCAGTATTTCCTCAATCTGTGCCCTTGACAGACCCCTTTTCCACTTCAGTAGGGCGGGTAGGTGCTCCTCACTGCGAGACATTAGAGACACACCATCTTTGACACCTTTGAATGTGACAGTGAGTAAGGATCAGTCGACAGGTGTG